ACTACAAGGATAATGGAATATGAAAGAGGGAATACCTTAGGATCGATGCCATTTGAGAATTTTTCCAATTCGAGTGAGTTTCATTTAATAAGGGAACTTATGCATTTCTCGCTTGTTTCTGCGTTACATTGCTTGCTTCTTGCTTATGAGTCATTGTTAAAATTGAAAAGAAAAAAAAAAAAGAAGCATTTAATGAAACTAATATGAATGTCGAAATTTTCTAACAGGCCGCCCAAGAAAAAATTGTAAAACAATTGCAACATCAATTGAACGAAACCCAAGGCAAGTTGGAAGAAGTTAATCGTACGTTGAACGACTTCGATGCAGCGAAGAAGAAGTTGTCGATCGAGAACAGTGACTTGTTGCGCCAATTGGAGGAAGCCGAGTCCCAGGTTAGCCAATTGTCGAAGATCAAGATCTCGTTGACGACACAATTGGAAGATACGAAGAGGCTTGCTGACGAGGAATCAAGGGAACGTGCTACGCTTCTTGGTAAATTCCGTAATTTGGAACACGACTTGGACAATATTCGCGAGCAAGTTGAGGAAGAAGCCGAAGGCAAAGCAGATCTCCAAAGACAATTGAGCAAGGCTAATGCCGAGGCTCAACTGTGGCGTACGAAATACGAATCCGAAGGAGTAGCCAGGGCTGAGGAACTCGAAGAGGCTAAACGAAAGCTTCAGGCTCGACTTGCTGAAGCCGAGGAAACGATCGAATCCCTCAACCAAAAGGTCATTGCTCTGGAAAAGACGAAACAGAGGCTTTCGACCGAAGTCGAGGATCTTCAAATCGAGGTCGATCGTGCCACTGCTATTGCCAATGCCGCTGAAAAGAAACAGAAGGCATTCGACAAGATCATTGGCGAATGGAAGCTCAAAGTTGACGATCTTGCCGCTGAACTGGATGCCAGTCAAAAGGAATGCCGTAATTACAGTACCGAGCTCTTCAGGCTCAGAGGTAAGTTTTTCTTTCAAGAGAATTTCATAAAATATATTTAACACTCGCGTCGTTTGTATCCTAATTAGGTGCCTATGAGGAAAGTCAAGAACAATTGGAAGCTGTGCGTCGTGAGAACAAGAATCTCGCCGACGAGGTGAAAGATCTTTTGGATCAAATAGGCGAAGGTGGACGTAACATTCATGAGATCGAGAAGGCTAGAAAGCGTTTGGAGGCGGAGAAGGATGAACTCCAGGCAGCATTGGAGGAAGCTGAAGCAGCTTTGGAACAAGAAGAAAACAAGGTACTCAGAAGCCAGCTGGAATTGAGCCAAGTTAGACAAGAGATCGATCGTCGTATCCAAGAGAAGGAGGAAGAATTTGAGAACACAAGGAAGAATCATCAACGAGCTCTTGACTCGATGCAAGCTTCTCTCGAAGCAGAAGCCAAGGTACGTAAGTGGAAACTCTAAATGAAAGCTTTAGAAAAGGACAAAAGATCGTTAACAACGATTCCTGATCGAAATGTTCACTTTAGGGCAAAGCCGAGGCACTTCGTATGAAAAAGAAATTGGAAGCTGATATTAACGAATTAGAAATAGCTTTGGATCACGCAAACAAAGCTAATGCCGAAGCTCAAAAGAATATTAAGAGATATCAGCAACAATTGAAGGATGTACAGACCGCTCTGGAAGAGGAACAACGAGCACGCGACGAGGCAAGAGAACTCCTTGGTATATCTGAGCGTCGTGCTAATGCACTTCAAAATGAACTTGAAGAAAGCCGTACGCTTTTGGAACAAGCCGATCGTGGTCGTAGACAGGCCGAACAAGAATTAGCAGATTGTCACGAACAATTGAACGACCTCAGTGCTCAGAATGCTTCCATCTCTGCTGCTAAGAGGAAACTCGAAGCCGAATTGCAGACTCTCCATGTAAGTTAAAAACATACCTCTGCGCTGTCTAATTTATATAAAATATCGATTATACGTATATATATATATATATATATATATATATATATATATATATATTTGATTTTCAATATTAAAATTGTCTCTTCTATCTCAGTCTGATCTCGACGAGCTTCTAAACGAAGCCAAGAACTCCGAAGAGAAAGCTAAGAAGGCAATGGTCGATGCTGCACGATTGGCTGACGAACTCCGAGCTGAACAAGATCATGCTCAAACGCAAGAGAAACTTCGCAAGGCTCTTGAGACACAGATCAAAGAACTCCAAGTTCGTCTTGATGAAGCCGAGGCGAATGCTTTGAAGGGAGGCAAGAAAGCAATACAAAAGTTGGAACAACGCGTACGTGAATTGGAGAATGAACTTGATGGTGAACAAAGGAGACACGCTGATGCTCAGAAGAACCTTCGCAAGTCTGAACGACGCATTAAGGAACTTAGCTTCCAGGTAATTAGCGATAGATCATTAGATCTACCTTTTGGCTTGTTTAATTATACATTATTTTAAACTGATTATTTTTCAACAATATTTACGTGATTTTTCTTATATTCTAGGCCGATGAGGATCGTAAGAATCACGAACGCATGCAAGACCTAGTCGACAAACTTCAGCAGAAGATCAAGACATACAAGAGACAGATCGAGGAGGCAGAAGAGATCGCTGCATTGAATCTTGCCAAGTTCCGTAAGGCTCAGCAAGAGCTTGAGGAGGCCGAAGAGAGAGCCGACTTGGCTGAACAAGCTATTACCAAATTCCGCACTAAAGGTCGTGGGGGAAGTGCCGCACGTGGATTGAGCCCAGCGGTAAGGAAATTTTTCTCCTCTTTAATTTTTTCATCGTCTTAAAACACATTTCATTTCTATAGCTTTAGATAAGAAAAAGAAAAAAAACTTTCCATAGTTTCTCTCACTCTCTCTCTCTCTCGGTTAGGTGTCCCATTTTTCTTAAATCTTCTGATAGAAAATATATCTTTCATTCTGTGTCCCTGTATAGCCGCAACAGAAGGCCCGCAAGGCGGCGCCCTCCGCGATGGAGTAAAAACACTGCGTTGCTGGTCCATGTAAGTCAGTTGAAGAAAAGAAATCATAAAAGGAGAAAAAAAAATAAACGTCTCTCTTTTGATTTGCTTTCAAAACGAGTATCTACTCCAACGAACAAGAAAGAAACTACCACCCTTAATTTCTCGTTGTCCTTATATCATCCTATGTCTCAAAAGTTTTCGTCAAATAGCTTATTTCTTCGTTATTAACTTCGTTATTAATTCATCCCTGGACTCATCCAATTTTCAAAGACATCATGATTATAATAATCTGTTGTAAGTGTCTCTCTCTCCCCCCCCCTCTCTCTTTAAAAGGTATAGATTAAAAGATATTTTTTTTTATTCATTAGACAGTGCAAGAAAATTAAATTATATCCAAGTTTTCAATGTGTCCGTGTTCATAGTCTTAGTAACACACAATAATAATAATAATAATAATAATAATAATAATAATAATTGTTAAATAATACATAGTCGTTATAATGATGTATTATAAGAGGGAGATAGGACATCCCTTGTGATAAGATTTGAATTCGTTGAATTTTTTGTTGTTTTGAGTGCTCTGCCATAGTCAATTAATTAATTAATTAGAAAATCATAGTTATATTCGAAAGGAGAACACAAAACTGCACAGAACTACGTGCCATATGTATACTTCTCTTTCGAAATAGTGCAAAAAAAAAAAAAAGAAAAGACTTACGATAAAAGTCATGAATTTTTTAATTGATATTTAATTTTGATATTTAATTTTACACACTCTCCATTTTTATCTGTATTATCTTTCTTTTTTGATTTTTTACAGCCACACCGACCTGCGTTCAAGCCCCAGTTCGATGGTTCCGCATTCCCGCCACGCTTCGACCTACAGCCCGATGGTGATTTGTAAAGATCGATGAAGAATTAATTAACCCAATAAAAACAACAACAACAACAACAACATCGTCCATGGATTTTTATCGCAAAACGAAAGAAAGAGAAACAAATGGATCAAGTTCGTGAGAACATTTATTTATCACGGGGCATCGTCGTCTCACTGTTTTAAAATAATAATTAATAACAATAATAATAATAATAGATTTCTAATGAGTCTATTATTGTTATTAATATGTCGTTTAATTATTATATCTATATTTCGAGATAATTGATAAGTATCCATAACTTTTTCATTCGAATAAATTCAATCAATGATAAAACGTATTCTAAATGGCAAATTGATTAAAAAAAAAAAAAAAAGAAAAAAAGAAAAAAAAAAGAAAAAAAAAAGAAAAAAAAAGAAAAAAGAAAAAAAAGAAAAATGATTGGAAAAATGATTTGATGAAAAAGGCTCGGAAAAAATAATAATAAATGATCTAATAGAAAGATCCACTCGAGCTAAAGGTCGAGGGAGGGAGAGAGAGAGAGAGTGAGTGAGAGAACGCGTGAAAGAGTGGGAGAGAAAGAGAGAGAGAGAAAGAGAGAGAGAGAGAGAGAGAGAGAGAGAAAAAAAAGGAGCTACGAGCAGAGACAATGAGAGGCGAGAGCCAACGAGAGATATATCTGTTATATTTACATACATATATACATACATACGTACAAGAACATACATATATACACATGCATATGTTAACATAAATATCTCTTCATGCATATGGAAGTAAAACCAGCCACAAGCAAACAGAAAATCAAAAATGACAGGTTTATGAAAGAAAATAATAAAGAGAAAAGATATATAAAGAAACGATATACAAAAAAAAAATATATATATATATATACACGCGAACATGATGGAAAGAAACTATGCGATAAATTTATACAATCGATAAATTTAAACGCAATCGATCGATGCTTATGATAAATCAAGTTAAATATCTCATTGCACCGATCATCCGGACGATTATCCTATCCTATAAACTTAATTGTAATTTATAAAGAGAGACCGAAGTATGTATTTATTAAAGTAAATAAGCAATAAATAAAGTTAAGAAAACATCGTCGTGCGAATTAATTTGCTTCTTGAATAGCATATTCTCTTATATGCCTTGCTCGATTGTGAAGGATTTTTTTTATTTAAAGATCTAATTATTTGTTACAGAAAATTTATTACACAACGATAGAAATATCTTCGATAATAAAAATACCGACGGAACTTGTTCAAATCGTTGATAAGTTGCCGACAGTAATTATTGTAATCTACAATATCGACTAATACTTAATGATTATTTTAGAAAACAATTAAATTTATATCTATTATCATTTAACCAACTAAGACATTATCTATGATTCTTTTTAGACTCTACACGAGCCAATTGTTGGAATTGTCCTTTCGTAAGTTCCCATTGTGTCAATTTTTCGGTACTTACACCAAATTCTTTACAAGTTTGTAGAAAAGCTGGCATAGCCAAAGGTAGATACGAATGATCGACTGACGGTAACAAATGATGTAGTCCATGAGAGCCAAAATTGGTTAACACTAAGATTGGATCATCGTCGATAATTTCGCGATCTCTAACAGCATCCAATTCGAGTAGGCCCCAATCCAAGTTTTCTCTTAAATTAATACTCGGTTTTTGAATAAGTCAAATCACAGAATGATTAAAAAACAATAATAATAATAATAATAATAATAATAATAATAATAATAATAATAATAATAATAATAATAATAATGAAAAAAAACAAACAAACCTATAAATATCTCCATCGTGAAATATATTTGGATGATGATGAGCAGCATTAATTCCGATAAAACTAAATATAAAACTACTTATCAAAATGATTATTAGCCATGTTTTAAAAGCAACGAATATATTTGGTGCAACAAACGACATAGCAATTGGAAGAATGAAAGGTACTATGTCTCTAACTTCCACAGTTCCGTATTCCCATATCATTGAGTAATACCTATGAAAAAAATGATATTATACGAGTTATTTGATAATATAGGATTCTGATTACCTTTTGATTCCTTGTTGACAGAATGTCAATGTATAAATAATAGGACTAGAAATTTGGGCAACAAAACTCATGAAAATATTCTTATCTGCATTTGGTAACCATTTCAGAAACGGTTCAGCGATATAGATTTCGTAATCCCAAATAGTATTTGGATAGAGATGGTGACTCATAGCATGTGTAATTCGCCAATCTTTGGATGACATTAAACTAAGATCAAAGTAATACATACGAAAGTTATCTCTCATGTGAAAATAATTATGACCAATGACTGTAGTCCATGCCAAGAAAATGCCTAAAAATGATACGTATAAATATATCTATAAAGATTTCATATTCATATATATATATATATATATATATTTCTTTACCAGCAATAATCATTGCAATAAATGACGAGGTAGGAGGATAGACAGCAGCTAAACAGAAGAAAATTGTTACAGCTAAGAAAGAATCAGCAATGCAATTAGACATTTTCGAAGGTCGATGAAAATCCACGTCCTTGAGAGCCTCTAAAGCACGTTTCTTGAAAGTACGATAGAAACCATTAGGTTCAAAAGTCAATGGTATTGATCTCGGCGTAGTTGCATCACGGACATAAAATTTAGGTAAAATTCTTTCAGCTTTTTCTGTTAGATGATGTGCCTGAAAATAAAGAAAAATAATTTTGTTAAAGTTAAGACAAAGCGTGTATAAATTGATGAGCTCACCTCAAAAGCTTCAGTGATATCAGTGCCTTTGGTAAGAGTAATCCATTCAGCACCACCAGGATGAGATTTAGCAAAAGTTCGTAAATCGTATAAACCATTCTTGATTCTCCAAAGTCCTTCGGCACCATCTTGCTGAATTCTTCCTTTTAAAAATCCATATGGTGTCTTTATAATTTCATTTCTAGCTAATGGATAAACTAGCCCAGGTATAGAACTCATAATCTTCTGCTTGTTGGACATTTTTCTTTTAATTTCCTTTATTGTTCCAATGACTATTGCAAGACCAAGTTTGTATCATCAAACTAATAACGATAAGTAGTTAAACAAAATTAAAATTATTAATTCTAATAGATTTTGTAAGAGAGACGAATTATTTAATGTATTTTATTTTTGTTTACATACTTTACGATAAAAATTTTAATCTATAAATGATACAATATTTGGCCACTTAATTTTAATTTGAAACTTTCATTAATAATACGCAATGACCAGTAGAATCGAACTGCCTTCAAAAAATATATAAAACAACATAAATAGGCGCTAAACAGTAATATACTAGTGATAAAAATGGAGGAACGTTATGGTAACTCTGAATATGTAAATAACGTCGATTAATCGCTTATATATCATTTTCATTATAAAAAAGAATTACATCAAAACTGCTCTTTGAACTTAATAACCTTTAATCAGCTATTAAAAGTGATAGATTAAATAAATACTGTGCGTTCTGCGGTAAATACATCTCTATACATCTCATAAAATTTAATAATAATACTGTTATTATAAAAATAATAGTAAAGTTAAATTTACAAAATCATTATAAAGAGTTAATTCGTACAAATTAATTATTTAGTAAAGTGTAAATTATAAAATATTTTTGTTCCTTAATCACTTGTAAAAAAAAAAAAAAATGTATTATCTGATTTGACTGACGTATAAGAAAATTTATTGCAAATTGTAAGACTTTTGAACTACGTATACTTATATAAGAAATTATACCGATAACTCCACGTTATGTGTAGTCCGAAATTGTACTTAAAAAATAACATGTCACAATCGGCCTTTTTATTACCTATCAACATGCGTGATACACCTTTCCAAAATAATTATATATCATAGAAAGACATTTGTACGAGATTTTTATTATTGAATATTAAATATGTTATCAGAGTATCAGCATAGTAAAAAAGAATACGAGATTACCATTGTTATTACATTCCGTAGGCGTTGTGTGTGTGCGTTTGTATATTGCAAATAATGTGGAAGAAATTTTAAATGTGGCAAAATAAGGCAGGTACATTAACTCGAATATACGCACAAGTAATTCGCGTTGCGCAAGATTTTGACATGGATTTACATTAGATTTAATAGAAAAAAGCTCTATATCTTAACTCTGCTGGATATAAATTCTTCTTCAAATTTGTTTAAAATGTTTTTTTTTTTTTCTATTATATAAACAACATTAACGTAATAAATAAGAATATATATTTTTATCTAATTTAAGTAATTCATATTGTCCAAGTTAATATAAAAATCATGAGAATAATGATAATACTTGTGCATGTGTTAGTGACAATACATATGTATATTAAAAGATATATAAAGTGAAAAAATGGAAAAGTAAAAATTTGAAAATAGCGCTATGTTCAAAACGCGTTGTTTAAGTATTACTTTATACGAAGACCAATTGTATATTTATTTCAAATAAAATTAACTCAACTTTACGAACTTTGTACAAGGATTATGATTCAGAAGAAAAAAAGAAATAAAAAACACTAATACTGATAACGACGAATAGTCTCACTGATAACACGTAAGAACATTGTGATTAAGATTTTATGAAAGAAAAAGGAAAAAAAACATTGTAACGATCAATGATCCGAACGTTTCAGATATACCACTAACTCCAGCACCACTCTGTTGTTGTTCTCTTTCCTTTTTCATCTCAGGAATGAAATCATTTGGATATTTCGATGAGACGCCAAAGTCCTTTGAACAAACTGTATCACGAATGAGATCTTCTGTTGATCCAACCAAAATTCTGTAATTGTAATCATCAGGATCCAAGCGAGAATACATGAAGATTGGTAAACGATCTGACAAAATCCAAATGTTGCCCTTATGATCAACCTAAAAAGAAAAAAAAGTTTGAATATAGATTAATATAGTTTACCAATCCAATATAATAAAAAAAATATATGAAAAATATAATAAATCTAAGAGATTCTTAATTACTTTTAAATCGTTGGGAAATATCATAGTGACGTTGTCGACATAAACGAAATTCTGTTTTTGTAGACTAAAATTATTACTAGGTCTCCAACAAGCAATAGCATTAAAGTTCGTTAAAGCATAAAACATGACGCCTGTGTTTGGATCAATAAAGCTGACACTGCTCTGACCATTAGATCCACGTGAGCCAAGAGGCTGAAATTCATGAAAACCTTCTACAAAAATCAAAAAATCAATATAAGATATAGATTGCCTTACTACTGCTAATGTAAAAAATGTATAAATATGTGTTGTTATTATTATACCAGGAGAATTAATACGTTCGGGATCTCGTAGAAGTTTTGTACTAACAGAAAACTCCATTGTACTGGATAATGGATGAAAATAAAGAGTACTGTATCCATCCTGAGTGGGTGCAAGAGCCATTCCAAAGATTCCATCGTTCCATACAAAAGCTAGGCCAGAAACATTGAAATTGCCACCCTTTGAAATAAATTATAATATTACAACAATATAATAATAAAAGAGGACTCTCTTTCTCTCTCTCTCTCTCTCTCTCTCTCTGATGAGTACTAACTGATGAAAACTAACTATGTCACCTTGGGATCGGGATGAAAGAAGTGATGCTTAACAAGCCAAGACTTATCAAGTTTCCAAGAATAAACGACTAATCCTGGAGCACCTAGGTCACCAAGATAAGCATAAGTATCCTCGCAATTATAATCCTCGACGGCGATATTGGCAAAGAAAGAATCAGCCGTCCTTTGATCAGAAGGTATGACGTATTTTCGTAGAGGTCTGTCATCTTTCAGATCATAAATGACTAATGCCGGTGGCACCTTTTGTTCTGGATTTCCCATAATATCAATTAATCCTGTGTCAAGAACCCATAGTCTTGAACAACGATCGACCTTTAATCGAAAGGGTGATACCAATTCTGGCCCACTTCCATTCCCACTTCCATGTTCGTGAGCTTCCCAAGTTGGGTATGGTATAAACGGTGGTGATTCTCGAGTATCTAAAATATAAGTCCTCCTTGTAAATGATCATATAGAGTCTAATCATCTCAATCGTTTATCGAACAATTAATTTATTTATTCGTTTAACAATCAACTACAAATGAGTTCATTTATTTAGTATGATTCTCTATCTGTAGGAAGTAAATGGAACGAATAGATGTACATCTATTTGTTTTATTTATTAATTATTTATAAATGTAATATATATATATATATATATATATATATATATATATAATTAGGACAAAAAATTAAATAACAACATTAGAGGTAATCTAAACGGGGAAATACGAATGTTTGTAAAAAATATTTCGTGACTTCTTACATCTGAGATAAATAAGGCATGATCTTCGATCTTCGACTCTTACGAAATGCACTTTAATATTATATATACTCCATCGCTACAAGCATCACAAATTACATAACTGTATGCACTGCATAATCTTTATTTTCGTAGAAATGATAAACGTACGTCAAAATTCTTCAAACTTATCAACCCTTTCCCTCCTTAATAAATAACAGTTGAGCACCATTTTACATGAGTCATGTCTGTTTATCTATTCCAGTGGATCTCAAATTATATTTCGCATAATATTTTTCATTAATTCTATATTAACAAATATTTTCACTCTATCATCAATATTGTTAAATTTATTTCAATAATTTTTAAAAGATTTTATATATGTTTATTAATGATTTAATAACGATTTTTGTTTTACAATAATTTGAGCGTCACTGATCAAAATGCAAGACCGCGAAATTTCAAATTGTCATACTATCCTAAACGATATAGAAATATAATTCGTACCATTAAGATTGATATAATTTAAACTAGCAGCAACTCCTCTTCTCCATCTTGGTACCGTAACAAATATCCTGTTATCAGCGATATCCAAACCCAAAGGAAGATTATCCTCACGATTATAATCAGGAAATAAGTTCTTGACGTCGTCGTTCGGCCAATCATAATCAATCTCTTTCCATTGATAAGCTATTCGAAGATTACCAATGGCATCGATTGGTTGAAAGAGATATCGATTGCAAATGAAGAAAGACATTAGCAGAAGGATGATTGGTTGAGAGTTCTGCATTGCGAAAACTGTTGACTAATCAAAATAACGAATACTCATTAACGTGTCAAAGTGTAATATTTCATTGGTTAACCTATTTTCTTCGTTCTTATACGTATTTTAACCACGACGCTTTTCTCTTTTTCTTTCTCTCTGTTACGAATAACGCGATTAATTATTATTACATTATTACGGTCAAACGTGAGTGTAATTTCGTATGCAATTATGTACCATATATCAGGTTACAACGTTCTCGACAATATTCATCCTTTTACAAGTTAATAAAACGTATTATTTTTAAAGGCACACGAGTGTATCATACATATTTATATATATATATATATATATATATATATATATATATATATATATATATATATATATTTGTACACGTATTTTGACGAAGTATTTCAAAACATATTCTCTCTCTCCCCATCACTCTCACTTTTCTTTTTCTTTCTATTTAAAACGTATAATAAATTTTAATGTAGTGACAAACACGAGAACACTCCCATAATATCGCTTCATATAAAACTCATTAAGATAAGAAAAGAAAAGAAAAGGAAGATAAAGAGAAAGAAAATACAGAAGTAACGTGCAAATATAATCTTCTCTTTTAAATTCATTCCGTATCTACGTATTCATCTAAAATCTCTAATCTCACGGCGTATACGGCGTATAAGAAGATGAATAGTGAAATAATAAAAAAATTGTGTAAAGAAAAAATGGAAAGTTAGAATCTTGTGAATTTAAGCGCGGGAAAATGCGTATCTTACGAATAGTGAATCTTTCGTAATACTTTCATCGTTACGATCTCTTCGCTGTGAAAGTACACTAAACTATATAAATGCGTACATATTATATAGTTTAATATATAATTTAGTAATTATATTATATTATTTCAATAATATAATTATTACAATACAACATTAAAAAGCATAATTACTATAAATGATATAGATAGTAATAAGTAGTGTAATTATATTAGTAATCTTGTAATAAGTATCTTATGGTAATTGTTATTATAATTTACTATAGTAAATTTGAGTATAATTTAAAAAAAAATTTACTTGCATATACATATATATATATATATATACAAACATAGATCCACAAGATAGAATAGTAAAGGAAAACATATGTATTGAATAATTAAGACGAGAGAATAAATGAAAAGAAGAAAAAATGAATACATAGAAACACAAAACTATAAATGCAGAAGAAAAAATTTATATCAATCGATAAAGACATCAGCATATTAATTATATCTTCCCTAATTACTGTTTATCGTCCAACAGAATGATAAGAAGAAAAAAAAGCAAATGGTTTGTTTAATAATCAAACTAAATTATCAAATACCTTTTTTTCCTATATAAATCTTTAACGTAGATTGAGAAAAGAATGTGTTATTTATGAGATACGAGAAATATTAGATGTTAACACAGCACTAGCACATTCACGACTGACTCGTCGATTTTAAAAGATACTAAGCGATGTTAAGCGAACCGGCAACTAGTAGTAGGAGAAATTCTACAACTTCGTCGAATGGTATTATTTTCCTTGTTATAATCAAGGTTTTCTATATAATAATCAAGGTCCTCGAAGATATGCGAACGGAAAAACTGATAAATTATTCCCTTCTCTTCTTTTATTTATTTAGTCGACGTATCGAGAATATGTCACTAGGATATGCTAAAGTATATACAGAATATATCAGATATATATATATATATATATATATATATAAGGTATGTTAGATAAAATCGATTAGATACTATATTAACTGATTCAAATGAATTTTCAAATTGATCAGAAATGATTAGAAATATTTTTCCAATGCATCTGACTAAAATAATATATAAAGAAACGGAATGATCCTTTGGTGAATATAATAGAATCGATTGTTATCCCACGACTCTCCCATCTGACATTTTCTAAATGTTAATCCCATCGAAAAAGTCGATCCTTTAAACTCTTCTCCCATCTTCTACGAGTTTCTTCGCTTTAATATTACGATTCTTTACGATTATGAGAAAGATCGATGATTATTATCGATGCATTTAAATGATTTATCCGATTTTTAATGATCGTTTCAATTGCGAACTATTTTATTATTATTTAATAATACTCTTAAAAGGAACGATTAAGTACAATTCTACTATAATTTCGATCGCCAATCTTCTTACACACTCTACCTGTTGACTCGTATTATACATTTTCGAGGTCGATCGGCCAAGCTTTCACTTTCTTCATGTTCTATGTTATTTTACCTTCTCTTATCTTAAAGGGGCCACGATCGAGAAAAATAAATACAACACGAGTATAATCTATTCTTGCTTTATCTAATTTAACTTTAAAAGATATTTTTCGGATACTAATTATGCTTTTAAAATTAATCAATTTTAAAAATTTATAACCTATAACAATTTTTTACTCATTATATTATACTCATTATAAGTTGAAAGCAAAAACTTATCGAAAGAAAAAAAATTATCGATTAATCCACAATTCAATCCTATAGTTATTTTAAAAGTTGAAAGACAACCATTATGATAGATCGAAATTTTCGATATTTTCTCGATATTACAAATTATCGACTGTTGTTCAATCTCAAATAATTTATTATCTAAGAATATATTGCACTGTCGATAATTTATCGATACATTCACTCTTTCACCCACGTACGTACTACAATTAATTGTGACCTTTTTACTTTATAGGTTATGTTTGGTTTGCTATATGTGCACGTGCCAATGAAGTGTCATCGAAATTTTTAATAACTTCAACAACGAAATCAAAAGATACAATGGCATTGAGAGAAAATAAAAAGAAAACGATTTTAGCCGAGAAGATAGGTAATCTTCTAAATGCAGCACCTACGAATATCGTATCCGACGAAGAGAGTGAAGATACAAAAGCTAAAGTCGTAGAACGTTATGAGGAAAGTGATGATTCTGAAGATATTACGAAACAATCTAAGTTTCGAAAGCAAAATGTACAATTCTTGGATGAATTGGACAAAAGGTAAATTTTTATTATAACACTTAATAATTTCCAATTTATTATTATCTTATATATTTCCTGAAAATGTTACATTTGTTAATTTTTTCCTTTCATAGATACGAAGGTAAAAAAGTATCAAGGAAAGATGTATACGAAGAAGCTCATGAGGGTAACAACGATTATGAGGAACTTGATTCTATGGAGGAAGATGAAACGAACGACTATATGGATGTCGAAAATGACGATGAAGATTTAAGCGATGAAAACAAAGATGAAGAACTCACCGAGGGATCTGAAGATGAGGAAGATATAGATAAGGACAATCCTCTTTACAGAGAAAGAGATAGAGATGCGAATTTCAAAACAATGTCAGCTACAAACGTTAAGGAAGAAATGGAAAAAGGCCAATGCATTCAAAGTCAATTAAGGCTTTGGGAAAGCCTATTGGAAGTGAGAATAAAATTACAAAAGTGTCTTGCTAATAGTAATCAAATGCCTCAATATGATACTCATAAAAGTTTTCGAAATGATACGGACTTTATGAAGAGAACGAATGAAGCAAAATCAAAGCTAACGTTACTCCTGGACAATATGTTAAATTTGCAAAGTACTTTATGGAAACAGTTTCCTGAAACAAAGTCCATAAATATAGATGGAAAGAAAAGAGGGAGAGACGAACATGATGATAATGATGGAAGTACAGAAGATCCAATGGACGAAGAAATTCCATCTGACACTGAAGATGAACAAGAAAAAGAAGCAGACGAAGACGAGACCAATAAAAATGGCGAGGATTCTGACGAAACAAATATAGAAAATAATGAATGTGTTCCTAAGAAGAAGTTCAAATTTGCAGATTATGAGAAGATATTGGCTAAAAGACATAAATCTTACGTTAACTATAGAAACTCTATAATAAGTAAATGGAATGATAAAACTAGAGTGACGACTGGAAAGTTAAATAAAGGCGTTAATCAAACAACTCTCAAGCAAATCGAATTTGCTTTAAGTGACAAAGTTAAATTGCACAAAAGGACACAGTTGAAACGTTCGGAATACGTTATAGTCGGCAAATCTATTCCTTTATCGAGTGATGATGATGGACGCGTTCAAGAATATGATCCAGAAATTTATGATGACGACGATTTTTATCATCAGCTTCTTAGAGACTTGATAGAATACAAATCTTCTGACATTACCGATCCCATACAACTTAGTAAACAGTGGATAAAATTACAAAATATGAGAAGTAAGATGAAAAGAAAGATAGACACTAGAGCGACTAAAGGCAGAAGAGTACGATACAATGTTCATAATAAATTAGTCAATTACATGGCACCTATAACAGTCTATGATACATGGTCTGACATTGCTAAAAACGAGTTGTACAATTCCTTGTTTGGAAAGATTAAATCTGTAGAAACGATAGAACATTAGCTACCAAATTATATATAAGTATGTAATAAGGATTAATCGTAATATTATTTTATTTCCACATACGTGTACACATGCATCAAAATGATTATGTTAGCGTAAGCATTTGAGATATAAATTACCGCTTACATTAAATTACATCACATTATATTATATATACTGTATTATATTGTATTATATATTATATCACAGTTTATATAATAATGCGAATATATGTATAATTATCGAATACAATGTATTTTCTATGTATTATTAATGAACATTTAAAAATAAATGTTTAACGTGAATAGAAATTCATGCAGTTTTCTATTAATTCCTACCTTCATCATACTACATCTTCGCACACCATATGATTCAGATACAAACACAGTTTTACGGGAAAAATTTTTGCGATCCCTGCAATATGAATTTTTGAACAGGAGAATATGGCTTACCAGGAGGTGGCACGTTCTCGCGTGCCACCTCTTTGCGCGTCATGTGATCCTGTTACAAATCCAATTTTGCGGGAAAATTTTCTACGGTCCCTGCAATATGAATTTTTGAACAGGAGAATATGGCTTACCAGGAGGTGGCACGTTCTCGCGTGCCACCTCTTTGCGCGTCATGTGATCCTGTTACAAATCCAATTTTGCGGGAAAAATTTCTACGGTCCCTGTAATTTGAATTTTGAACAGGAGAATATAGCTTACCAGGAGGTATCACGCGAGAACGTGCTACCTCCTTGCAAGTCATATGATCCTGTTACAAATCCAGTTTTACGGGAAAAATTTTTGCTATCACTGCAATATGAATTTTTGAACAGGAGAATATGGCTTACCAGGAGGTGGCACGTTCTCGCGTGCCACCTCTTTGCGCGTCATGTGATCCTGTTACAAATCCAATTTTGCGGGAAAATTTTCTACGGTCCCTGCAATATGAATTTTTTGAACAGGAGAATATGGCTTACCAGGAGGTGGCACGTTCTCGCGTGCCACCTCTTTGCGCGTCATGTGATCCTGTTACAAATCCAATTTTGCGGGAAAAATTTCTACGGTCCCTGTAATTTGAATTTTGAACAGGAGAATATAGCTTACCAGGAGGTATCACGCGAGAACGTGCTACCTCCTTGCAAGTCATATGATCCTGTTACAAATCCAGTTTTACGGGAAAAATTTTTGCTATCACTGCAATATGAATTTTTGAACAGGAGAATATGGCTTACCAGGAGGTGGCACGTTCTCGCGTACCACCTCTTGGCGCGTCATGTGATCCTGTTACTAATCCAATTTTGGCGGAAAATTTTTGTCTCGTCTCCTAATTTTTATTTTTGAACATGAGAATATAACTTACCTGGGGGTAGCACATGCAATTGTGCCGCCTTTTTTGATGTTGATGTCCTTTTTATCGAAAATTAGAAATTTCGAATAAAAGATTATAACATATCAGCTTTTGGCACAGTTTTTAAAGGATTATTAGCAGATGATATGCCAGGTATATATAAAGGAAGTCAAATTTTTTCTCCATTTGATACTTTATTTTATACTTTGATAAAATTAAATTTTTGTTCTTTTTTATATTTTACATATTTATCATAATGTACAATAATAATATTGTAAACTTTTAAATAGAATTATTATTGTTAATATAATCTTCTTTTGGTATTTGTTAAATTTATTCTGATGGTCCTGCCATTGTTGTCTTCTGACTTATCCAAAAAATACGGCATTCGAAGAAAGAGGAAGTATTGCAGATCCTATTAATCGTCATGGTGTTGATACAAGATAATTCCTGTCCTAGTTAGCTGATGATTTATCGATATATCCTTATTAGCTGTGCTACATTCCTCACTTACGATTGGTCTGATTACTGGAAAACAAATATTTTCTATATTATTCTCTATTTCATTTCATATTACAAACAAAAACGTGATAAATAAATAGACTGATAGAGAAATCATATCTGCAGGACATATAGTTAGGTAATCATTTTTAAAGTAATTAGTTGGATTATATTTACATAACACATATTTAAATATAATCTAACTATAATCATCTATTACATATTTGTCATATTTATCGCGTCCTCCTCTTTAGAAATGAGAAATAAAAAGTGAAGGAGAAACATTTGATTTAAGATATCTTTCAGTCGTTTGGAAAAAGTTTTGACTTTTGTCGAAAAATTCTTTCATAATTCGAATGAGTGAGCAAGCGCAACGAGACAGGCGGAGAAAGAGCGATAGAGAGAGAGAGAGGAGGGGAGAGGGAGAGAGAGAGAGAGGCTTCGAAGAGTATGGCGAGCTATCAGTCGCGATTTGACACTTGACCCTTGACGTTAGCCCGTACGATTCGCCATGAAGTCGCGATCTCAAGCGATCTAGGAAAGCCGCCTCTTGAATCCTTTCTTAGTCCGTCTTTAAACTCGTCGTCGTTACCGTTAGTCGTGTCTCTTCTATTTTGTGCTTTTCTCTTTAAAATATATATGTACATATTATCAATCGATTTGGCAATGATTGAATGAAATGAATATCAAGAAGAACGAGATAATTGAATAGTGATTAGAAAATGTTTCTCAAGGCCGAAAGGATTATACTTTATATGAGAAAATTTCTTAAAATGAATGTTACCATTTACTGGTTACCATTTAATTAAATTATTTATTTATTTATTTATATTCAAACAAGACAAATCTAATTTATCTTACATATAAAATCGATTATGCTAAAATATCCAGAAGATATAGTAAACGAAACGGTAAGCCGGTAAGTAAACTCTTTCACTAATTATCATTTCATTATAGTAATAATAATAATAATAATAATAATATTAATCCTAATCATAATATACATGGATTTTATAGTAATGTTAATTGAATTAATTCGATGTTTATGACATGAAATTGTTATAAATAATACATTAGAATCGAATTCCAGAGAGATTTTTTTTTGCTTCCTTAGTCGATCGATAAAAACGATCTGATGGAAAGAAGTTTCACAAAAGAATGATATAATGCACGAAGTCCACACATGACTTTTTTCATTGTCAGCTTCGACTGTCTATCCTTAACGAGACGAGAGCTCTAACAAGGCCGATGGAGAAGTCAGATAACCTTTTTCCATGAATCATAGTCGTTTAGTCTGTTTTAACATCCCTCAAAATTTTGTCATTTATTCTTACTGAAATATAAAATAAATGAAAAAAGAAACTATCATTTTTATTATCAAATCAGATTTCTAATTCCATATATTGTTTATATGTATACATGTTATTCATATATTGTGTCTATTTCATCCTACTTTTCTTTTGTTTTACTTTTGTTCTAATTTTCTTAATAAAAATCACACAGTTTGTAGATCTTAATTTAATAAACAAAAAAAAAGATATGTAAAAAGAAAATATAAATATTTTCTTTCTGTGATGATTGCTAGGCAGGTAATTTTTTTGCTCGAAAAGGATAGATCGATTAAGAAGCGATTGTCTCTTATGTGACCAATCGAGACAATAATAACATTTCGAGACAATAATAACATTCGATTAACGTTGCTAGCATAACAGGGACCTTATCGAAAGAGAGCGAGCGAGAGAGAGAGAGAGAGAGAGAGAGAGTCTATGAAGAAAATTATCATTACTATTATTATTTTTATTATTATTACTATTTTTATTATTATTATTATTATTATTATTATTATTATTATTATTATTATTATTATTATTATTATTATTATTATTATTATTATTATTATTACTATCCCATTTATGCTTGCTTATTTATAGATCATCACTGAAGAAATACATAAGTATACATATCTATATGTGTGTGTGTGTGTGTGAGCGCGCACATACTTATAGATATAGACACGGAATTAGCACGCATGTTTTAGCATGATCGACACATGCATGCGAAAAGTCAACCAAGATATCGAGTGATATCGAGAATCTGGTACTTTGAACTAACACTTTTCGATTTGATACTATATCCGTTTAATTCTCGTCGAATAACATACACACATAGATTATTCATTTACATGGTCTCGCATTACTCTCTCTCTCTCTCTCTCCTTCTCTCTCTCTCTCTCTCTCTAATATTCCATTCCTATTTGATTTTAATAATAATAATAATAATAATAATAATGATAATAATAAAATATGAAACTTTCATTACAAAAATAAATATTTATAATCGCGAACAAACATATAGACGATTAAATTTCTAATAGATATAAGAATTAATCTTACTTTTCATTGCGATGCTGAATAAATATTTAGAATTAGTTACGTATATTTGAAAAATAAAGGAAACGAATGAGAAAAGCCTAGGAAGGAAGGAAGGAAGGAAGGAAGGAAGGAAGACAAGAATGAATTCTACGAAAGATTTTGAATTGCCGATCGATATGAGATTCAACGAGGGTCATATAATCAGTATCGTCACTTATAGCGTTCTAATGGGAATTTCAGCAATCGGGAATATTACTGTCCTTTTTCTGATCCTACGAAGTCGTCGTTCATCCAAATCAAGGATATACACGATGCTGATGCATTTAGCTATTGCCGATCTTTTCGTAAGCGGACCTCACCTTCTCTCTCTTTCTCTTTCTCTCTCTCTCTCTCTCTCTCTCTCTCTCTTTCTCTTTCTCTCTCTTATATTCTTCAAACTCCAAAAGGAAAACTTTTCTTTTCTTCTTTGTCTATTTCCTTTCCTATTTTGCTCTTTCTCTTTACTTCCTTCACTCTCTCTCCCTCTCTTTCTCTCTCTCTCTCTCTCTCTCTCTCTCTCTCTCTCTCTCTCTATCTCTGGCTAGGTAACGTTCCTGATGATGCCTTTGGAAATTGGTTGGGCGATAACCGTGTCATGGAAGGCTGGCGATGCCATGTGTAGGATTATGGCATTCTTTCGAGTATTTGGACTTTATCTTTCGTCATTTATTTTAGTCTGCATTAGTATGGACAGGTAATTATTTAACTTTTTTTTATCTATCTTTTTGTCTACATTATATACATACATACATGTATATATAAATTGATTAATGTTACCAAAACAGATCTACAAAAAAATAATGATTAATTTATGAATATTAATTATTATCGCCATATTACATAAAAATTAATACATATATATATATATATATATATATCTTCGATATATCTACATATGTAAAATTATTTCTAAACGCGATTGCGTAAATTGAATTTGTAGATATTATGCAGTGATCAAGCCTCTTCAATTATTGCACGTAGATAGACGAGGGAAAATCATGTTAACGATAGCATGGTTAGCTTCGATATTTTGTTCTATACCACAGGTAATTTATTATTCGTAGATAAATCATGTGTTAAAAAAAAAAAATCGTCATATTGGTAAGACTTTTCCTAAATATCTGTTTCCATTCTTAAACGCGCGCATCTGTCGCAGATGATGGTATTTCATTTGGAAGCACATCCGAATATTACATGGTATTCCCAATGTATTACATTCAATGCATTCCCAACTTACACACACGAACTCACCTATTCGTTATTCGGAATGGTTATGATGTATTGGTTGCCATTACTAGTAATTATTTATACATATACGAGTATATTGTTAGAAATTTGTAGACGTTCGAAAGAAAGCGTGGAAGGTATGTTAAGACAATTAATTAATTAATAAATATATAAATGCATATTCTGAAATTAAAAAAAAAAAAAGAGAACAAAGGATTATGTTACAGATAGGATACGTCGTTCGTCTTTGGTATTCCTTAGTCGTGCTAGAATACGCACTTTAAAGATGACTATCATTATCGTTGCTGTTTTTTTCGTTTGTTGGACTCCGTATTACGTAATGAGCCTATGGTATACTTGTTTTTATTTCGATTAGTCGATTAGCTTGTGTATCACCTCGTTATTTTCTTTTTATTTTTTCTTATTATACTGAACAAAGCGCTCCGAGAATTTGTCGATTACTATCTATAATATTAAACGAACTGTTTTTCTATATTTGTTTGTATATTTTTAAAAAGGTACTAATCTATTTGTAGGTATTGGATCGACAGAACATCCGCGAGAAAAGTCGATCAGAGAATTCAAAAGGGATTGTTTCTTTTCGCATGCACAAACTCCTGTATGAATCCTATAGTTTATGGTATTTTTAATATAAGGGATAGAAAGAAGGTCAGTAGTTTCTTTGAAAAAAAATAAATAAACAGAACAAAAAAAAATTACACTGCACGAAATATAAATACAAGATGTAATGGATTTATTTAAAAATAAAAGAATACTTGTAAAATCTGTAAAAAAAAAAAAAAAGAAATAACAATTTCCAAAGAAAACTTTTTCTAAAAATTATTTCTACATGAAAAAAAAAAATATATATATATATAGATCAGATAGAGAGACAAGTCTAATAATATTCACATTGTCTTTTCATGAAGATTAGTATGTAATAAACACACACACACACACACACACGATATATTAGAATTAGATTAGAAAACGTTGTAAAAAAAAAAAGAGAGAGAAAAAAAACCAAAAGAATTATGCTAATAATAAATATATGTTTCGTTTATAGAGTACGACGTCTCAATGCGTAACTTCCTTGACAAATAATCCTAAATCATCCTTGAAAGGCCGACAAATATCCTATGAAAGCTCTAAACATGGATCGATAGCTAAATCGAAAGATCGGGTCGTCGATCTTCAACTAAAAACCATCACTGGTAGTTCTATTGGGTTGACTAATAAGTAATACTCAGAATTATCAGTATTTTATTATTCCTAAATATATTTTAACAATTTTTCTTTTTTATTCATCTTGATTTAATATCTTGCTCTTGATTTAAATGATAATAGATAATGAAACTAATCCTATATTTTAGCTAAATGCATACGTACGTATGAATCGAGAAAGGATCATCGAGCTTCGAGAAAAACCTAAATGAATACGCGGACACAACCTGAAGATTTATTGAAGATTTATTGATAAGTAAGTCTCGATTATCTTACATCGAGATATTATAAATCAATGATTTTCTAACATGTATAGAAAAAAATGAACGGACGTTCTTTTTCTTTTTTTCTTTTTTTTTTTTTTTCTTTATTTTTTTATATGTAAATATAAATGTTAACGGGCTATTAAAATTCTATTTCAATTTTTTTTTTTTTTTTTTTTTTTTTTTTATCTAAAAATCTTTTATTTATATAAAAAATAGAATGATTAATCTCCAAGGAAAAATTAAAGGAAATAAAAAGAAATAATAATAATAATAATAAAAATAATAATGATGATAATAAAAAGAAAGGGAAAAATATTAGAAATTTATTTGAATGAATTGATCTTTTTAATAATATTTTTTTTCTAAATGAAATTATAACAATTAGTAGAAAAGGAAACATATGATTTATACTCTTTTATTTATGCTGTTGAAAGAAACGGATAAAACTAGAACTCGAACTTGACTTGTAGGTGGTACCACTTCCCACACACGTGCCTAACTCGCACACACGCTTGTGTTATGTGCCTGCATTTAACAAGAGATATAGAGAAAAATTCTTGCGGGGAAATTTCTATGACTGGATATTTGTAAAAAAATAATCTGAGCATCTTATCAGGCTCAACGTTATCAAAATCTAGGAAGTGGAAAAACCGGATATTGTAAGATGTCTGCAATTCAGATACTATCTAATTGTTGTGATTCACATTTCTGCGTGTGTGTGTGTGTGTATGTGTGTGTACATACATATTCTTATATTATACCTATCAACGAGTTAATATTGCCTTTTTTATATTTAATAATTTTTTTTTTTTTTTTAAATAATTAAATCAAATTTTATTAAAATGTCATTGTAAATTTAGTGGAATGAATTTTGTGATACATTTAATGTGCATGTGAGTGTGCATGTGCGTGTGCGTGTATATGTAGATTCCAGATATGTACATATGTGTATGTATGTCCGTCCGAAGATTATTATAATATGTATATTAATGAGTTGTGTACGTACGATATAATTCTTTGATCTTTATCTCAAATAATTTTAAGTACAATTTTGTATGTAAATGTTGTAAATAAATATTATATTATAAATAAATAATATATGTTGAAAGTATAATAAAAATGAAAGAATCTTTTCAATAATTTTTCGATCCAATTTCCAATATAGTTCCAACTAATTCCAAATCATATAATCAAAACAGATAATAAACAAAGATGCAAATAAAATTTTTAAATAATGACGAGGCTCATAAAATAATTGCATTAGTTTTCGAATCTTCTCTATCTAAAATATCGATCAAAAATTTCAAAAAAATTTAATCGATGAAAAGATCTATGAAGATCCGATGTCCAAGAAGAGAGATATTCAGGATAGTTGCAGTGGTTCCGTGGGCGACGTATAAAACGATCGGATCTACGTCTCTAAGCTTCAGTCTTGGAGATAAATCGAGTTACAAGAGATCGTACACACGAGCGTTTCTTCGTTAATGGTGTAAATTACCTCGAAGAGGAGGTGTCATCTTTTTTCTTTTATATTTTCAACATCGTAGAAAAGAGAAAAGGAAGAAGAAAATTTTCGAAAGATGAATTTTTCAAGGATTAATATATTCTTATTAACGTTTATCTGCATTTCAACGATCATCTTCGTTTATTCGAACGCTACTTTGACAGAAGATAAAGGTAAGTAATTAATATCGATTAATAAGATTGAAAGATCAGTGTCTAGTCGTAATAGTTATTTTTATCTCACAAGTTATCATGATATTCGTCTTAATACAAATTTCAAATGGTTCGTTCAAGTATAACACATACAATTTCATACTTATTAAGAATGAATATTAGATTGGTCTTAGTAACCATATCGAAACGATGTTATATCTAATTTTTCACTCATTTAGATTTTCTTTCTCTGAATATAGAAACAACAATTATCCTTTTATTCAATATTTGTAAAATAAATAACTAAGAAATATTTTATTTATTTATTGAAAATTTCTTTTCAAATATATACAATTATATATTATATATAGGTGTGTGTGTGTGTATATATATATTTATGTATGTATTAATCAAAGATTTGCCATGGCGATCATAATTTTTTCATATTAATTTAGAAATATTCAATAAATAAGCATAATGTAAATTATGACAAATGTGTTTTAATGTTCTATTTTTCTCAAGAACTAACGACGAGTTTACGAGAATCTTTACATGACGAAGATTTCATAATAGTTGTCAATGACATTAGAACGAGAAAGAAACCTAATACAGAAGCAGAACCCTTGTTAGCTGTGAAGTATGGTGAATCTAATAGAAAAACAGTTCTAATGCTCGATAGACGTACTAATCGAGGTAAGTATATTTATAAAATATACTTATAATATTATTTAATATAAGTATTAATTTGAAAAAAAAGAAAAGAAAAGGAAAAAGAAAAAGACATTTCGTTAAATATAAAAAAGAAATACTAATGTTAAATCTTTATTATAGTCATTTTAGAAAATCTTCATTCTAATGGACGACGTACAACTAAGCACATAGTTGTCGATAATTTAACTTCATCGTTAAAAAATTTGATCATTTATGTGCACCAAAAGCAATCAGAATCTCGAATCGATGTTTATATCGATTGTATGTATCAAGGATCTATAGATCTGAAGAAAAGCTTTCGAGAACTTGCAGATGAAGAAGAATTTTTATACATAGAAGTGGTATGACATGCACATATATATAATTTATATACACACGCACATAGATATGTATGTAGGGTGAATCATTACGTTCACTGTTAAATTTAAAACATACAAATCTTGATATATTTGCATTGGAAATTTAATATACATATATATCTTTTGAATATCCTGTTAATAAAAGTATGAAGTTTCATAAATAAAAAAAAAAAAAAAAAAGAAAAGGGAAAAAACAAAGTGGACACGAAATTATATCTTTCAATTTAGAGAAACGATCGATATATCATTGAAAACGTTACAAACCTTTCTATATAACAATTTTTTAAATGGTTGAATGGCTTACCTTGTATACATACATATGTATGTGTGTGTGTCTGTGTATAGCCTACAACTCCTAGAAACGAATTTGTAGATTTGTACGTGTGTATGGCAGATAAGAAAAGAGGAGGAAAGTAGTTTCTAAGTTTCTTCCTTTTCGATGACGTTCGCGACGATCACACTGTGATCGGCAGTACAAGTCCGTGGGACGACTCGTTTCTAAATATGGCCATCGAGAATCGAGTCGTTCGCTTTTATTACGTAGTTGTTGTTGTATAGTAGCAAACCAATCTAACTCTCTTCTACCAAACCTAAGCAAATTCTCTCTCTCTCTCTCTCTCTCTCTCTCTCTCTCTCTCTCTCTCTCTCTGCTCTACCCTAATCATTGAGATATTTCGAATTAATTATTTATCATCCGTATTTATTTTTCTGTTCTAAAAGTTTCGAGAAAACAAATGTAAGATCAAAATTCATCGAGAATTGACCATCGACGAGATCTTGAAAGGTGAACAATGTTCGAGGTCATTTGACAAATTCGAACGTACATATAATTTTCTCGACAATAATTTCCCTTTCGAATTCGATTCGACTCAGTCGAGTAAAACTAACGATCGATCTAAAAGAGGCCCTTACGATTTTAATCATTCTAATCTATCCTTCGAATCGTCCTCGATTGCGCGTAAAAGGACCGTGAGAAGAGGTGACATTGGAATTCAAAGTTTAGATGAGAAAAGTGAGTACACTTTGTTTTTTTTTTGTCGAGGGATAGGGGTAATTTTTTTATCATACTTTTGTCGTTGTTACCGTTGCCTTGCAGTTTGTCTTACGGATGGTCAATTGACAAAAACTTTGAACGAACTTATACAAGCTACAAAGAAAATTTGGAGCGAACTCGAAATGAACGTAAGTCTATTTAAATGAGATTAAAGATCACGGATAGTTTAAATAAATCAATGAATTGAAGGAAATAATAATGATCGATATTAATTAATATCAATACAATATTAACAATTAGTGTATGATATAAATAAGAACTAATAAGATAATAATTAATATGAATTAATATATTGTTTTCCTTTCTTAATGATTTTTAGAGAAGGGAAACACACGAGTTAAGAATACTAATGGAAAATTGCGTCGCTTGTCGTCAAGGTATGGTCGGTGAGTGAAGTGCATAACAGCATAACACACGTGATGTAAAATTATTATTTTTTCGAGAATAGTTCAAAGAGATCAAAATGTAGGCGATATTGTATATAATAATAATAATAATAATAATAATAATAATAATAATAATAATATTATTAATAATATACATATATATATACATATATACATATTAAATCGACAGAAAAAAAAGAGATAAAAAATGAACAAAGCTTTTTCGAATCTTATTTCACACTTTCTAAATGCTTTTATAAAAGAGATAAAAAAGAAATAAAAAAATAGATATATTTTAAGATGAAAGATCGAACGTTTCTGTATCTTAAAAAAGTCAATACCAATTTGATGAATAAATATTATTGATACGATCCATTTCTTTTGATTTCAAGTGTTTCTAAAACTATAGTTAATTATTTTCATAAATAATATCTCAAAGTAAGAAACAATAATTTGCTTTTGTTATCTTGAACATAATAATTTGTTTCTTTTATTTTCCTTTTTTTTCTTTTTCTTTTTTTTTTTTTTTTTTTTTTTTTTTTTTGGTGAAAATAATTCATAAAGAAATGCTTGATTATCAGTATTATACTTAGGAATAGTATCACTTTGGGATTTGCGTGTAAATAGTTTAATGATTTATATAATCGACAAGTTATTAAGCATTTTTCTCTCCTGAGCGGTGATGGTTCCTCCAGTATCAACAACACCACGACCAGTATCCTGTAACTACGAATCGCCATGTTATCCTGGAGCTCATTGTCAGGATTCAGCGAGAGGACCAATTTGTGGTACTTGTCCAAGAGGTATGACCGGTGATGGTCGTAATTGTTTGAAGATAACAACATGTTTAGACAATCCGTGTTTCCCTGGCGTACGTTGCGAGGACCATCATCATGGTTATAGGTAACGATGGTAGATGATTAACGATCAAGAGAGGTCGATCCAAGATCTATGCATCTGCAATCGAATGATCGATTCATTTTCCTTGATTTAGATGTGGCAAATGTCCAACGGGATATCATGGTAATGGTGAACGATGTGAACGTAGAAGAAACGTTTGTGATTCTCGACCATGTTATACAGAAGTTGAATGTATTACTACTAATTATCCACCATTTTTTAGGTAAACGGACATCTATTAATCAATTTATGTTTGCTAATTTCAAGTTAACTTTTTCTTAGAGTCATCAAAATATTGGATTATACTAAGGTCAATTGAATAAATGATTTCTCTCGTTAATAAAGTTAATATACTTTCTGATCTAATAATTATCTCCGATTCTAATAACGCGTTAATAATTTTAGATGTGGAAGTTGTCCCGCTGGTTTCACAGGAAACGGTACATCTTGCCAAGACATAAACGAATGTGAGATAGCACGTCCTTGCTTTCCCGGAGTACGATGTATCAATCTTCGACCTGGATTCAGATGTGAATCCTGTCCTCCAGGATACACGGGTTCGACGTTTGAAGGCGTTGGCATTGAAATGATTAGGAACCGAAAGCAAATCTGTCGTGATTTAAACGAATGTGAGATCAATAATGGTGGCTGTGATTTGCATTCCGAATGTATCAATACGGAAGTACGTAGAAAACATTTATATATCATTGATACATAATAATATATTTCTATTATATAATATTTCCCAATCGATTGATTTTGATCCCAAATTCTTTTAATCATCATCGAAACGTTACCTCACAGGGTTCCTATAGATGTGGACCATGTAGGAATGGTTTTGTTGGTAACGAGACAACAGGATGTCGACCTAGTCAAGAACTTTGTCCGGATATGTCAACCATTTGTGATCAGAATGCCTATTGCGTTTGCATAAGCCTGAACGATTACATGTGTCGGGTAATTAAATCGTTGGATTTAAAAAATTCCAACAAAGAAGCAATTAAAAAGAAAGAAAAAAGCAAAAGCAAAAAAGAAAACAAAACTCAATTTTAGTGCAGAGTTGGTTGGGCTGGAAATGGACACAATTGTGGCCTGGACGCGGACAGCGACGGTGTCCCAGATAAAAATCTAAACTGTCACGAACATTCCTGTAGAATGGACAATTGTCCGACAGTACCAAACAGTGGTCAAGAAGATGCCGATGGCGATGGTATAGGTGATGCTTGCGACGAGGATGCTGACAACGATGGTATATTAAATTCTTCAGACAATTGTCCTTCGGTACATAATCCCGGCCAGGAAGATAATGATCGTGACGGATTCGACGGAGTTGGTGATCTATGCGATAATTGCCCTATGGTTAACAATCCACGTCAATGGGACACCGATGGTGATGGTTTTGGTGATGCCTGTGACGATGATATCGACAACGATGGTATAAATTTTTCTCTCTGAATTAAACACTTCATTCGAATCGTCTTCAATACGTCTATTTTAAATTAACGATATTTAACTGTAAATAATATCTCTATCTCTTTCTTAGAAATTTTAAATCATCTAGACAATTGCCCAAAAATACGAAACAAAGATCAAATCGATACCGACAATGACGGAGTAGGCGATGCCTGTGACAATTGTCCTTATATGCCGAATCCTGATCAAAAGGATCACGATAGCGACAACGTCGGTGATTTGTGTGATAACGACAACGATCGTGACTTGGATGGTATACAAGACGATCGTGACAATTGTCCAAACGTTGCTAATCCTGGCCAAGGCGATATCGATCGCGATAGAATCGGTGATGCTTGTGACGACGATATCGATGGGGATGGCGTTCCGAATCGTCGAGATAATTGTCCATTCGTTTATAATCCTTATCAGGAAGACGTTAATAAAGATGGCATCGGTGATCTTTGCTGGAACGATTATGACAATGATACCGTCATCAATTACCTCGACAATTGTCCGAACAATAGTCAGATATGGACTACTGATTTTCGCAAGTACGTCACGATTAATCTAGATCCAACGGGTGATTCACAAGAGGATCCATCTTGGATAATACGACATAGTGGTGCGGAGATACAACAGATGCTTAACAGCGATCCCGGATTTGCCATAGGTGGATTTTAATACATTTAATATAAATCTTCATTTTAATTGATTTCATATTTTTTTTATTTCTCACTCTTTACTTACTTATTTTTTAAGGGCCTGACGTTTTTGCTGGAGTAGACTTCGAAGGAACATTTTATATCGACGACGACAACGACGACGATTTCGTTGGCTTTGTCTTCTCGTGTCAAAGCAATCGTAGATTTTATGTCGTAACATGGAAAAAAGCTGATCAACCTTATTGGGAAACTACACCTTTCCGTGCTATCGGTGACTCTGGTATCTTACTTAGGCTCGTTGACTCTGAGACTGGACCTGGAGTAATACTTAGAAATAGCCTTTGGCATAATCAAGATGTACCTAATCAAATGAAAATATTATGGAGAGAACCAAGCAAATATGGTTGGATACAAAGAGTTCCATACAGGTGGCACCTGTTACACAGGCCTCACGTCGGTTTGATCAGATTCTGGCTTCATCAGGGTAACAAACTGATCACTGATTCAGGAAATATTTATGATTCCACTTTGCAAGGTGGTAGACTCGGCGTTTATTGCTTCTCACAGGAAAGAATCACTTGGTCTGACTTGCTCTATACCTGCAAAGGTATAACTCTATCCATAATATATTAATAATTTTAACGAAATTTTAAACATTCTTATTATAACGATTATTCTTCGTTATTCTTCTTTTTAGATTCTGTCCCTCAAGAAGTATGGAACGATTTACCAGTCGACTTAAAGAAACAAGTTACAGTAGAGAACGCGAGATTAAAAAACCATCCTGATTCTCATCGTCGAATGAAATATGTCAATATCTTTTAAGGGGAAAAAAGAAAAGAGAAAAGAGAGAAAGAAAAGAAGAAGGAAAAAAATCAATTATCCAATAACTTTTGTTACCTACAAACATTTTCGACTACTACAATCTATCCTACCTCCCTCATGTGTGTATATATACATATATATATATATATATATATATATATATATATATATATATACATATATATATATATAGATTGAAGCGCAACGATAACAAGTTGAAACGATGAAACAAAAAAAAGAAGAAAAAAATATAAAAAAGATTCGATTCTTTTTCATGATCGAGGTGTATTAAATTGAAATTTTATTATTTGCCATTAAATCGATGAATTAATAATAATAATCATCATCACGGCACATCCTAATTCGATAATTTCTTATTGAGATTGAAATTGACATAAACAGTCTTCTTACAATGCTTGCTCCCAATGCAGCTTTCTCACAATGCTTTTCGAAACGAAATTACAGAGGTAACCATTGTCGTTCATTAATTAGAAAGATCAACTATAGTATATATTTATATATAGTATTAGAATGATTAAAATAAGAGATTCGTTTGATCGATCGATCGTTCTCGCGTATTATTTTATTTTCTAAGAGAAAGAATAAAAGATTCTTTCGTTCGTTCATTATACCTTTGACGATAATAAATATTGCAAATCCAATAAGATGGACTGATCATTTTGCCATTGAATAACTCGTTTTAATTCAGATTCTAATTAAAAATTTGTCTAAATCATTTGGATAAAAGTTACCAAGTTTTTTTCTCTTCGACTATTATAAATTCCAATGTATTTTCGTGTCGATACAAGTTCGAATAGGTGCTTATTATTATTATTATAGCATATTACATTACCGATCGATATCAAATCGATCGGTAGTTTAGGTAGATAATTAAGTAATTATTAAATAGATTAGGTAATTGGATACAATTAATAATAATAACAATAATAAATTTGCAGAAAAGTTCTCCTAACTAAAACAATAAATTATTAAAAATCTACGTTTAATCATTAAGGACAAAGATAATTAGTCCTTATGCCTTATTACTTAACTATTTACACTAAGAAACAAAGATTACATCTGGTCTCCGAGCTAACGTGTAATTTTAATCAAGTATATTTTTTTCCTCGGAGAAGCATCGAACGTAGTAGCTTATATTATATCATATTACACATATATATATGTATATATATATATATATATATACACTATATGTATGATTTACGTATGTATGTATCTGTTCGTAAAGTTTTCACATAACTCTGTGGTATATACAACAGAGACGGAGAAAAATTATGCAATCTTATTCTCTTGTTGCGAAGATTATTTACGGCTCAACTCGATTCGACTTTGACTTGACTTGACTTGACTTGACTTGACTTGACTTGACTTGACTTGACTTGACTTGACTTGACTTGACATGACTTCACTTGACTTGACTTCACTCGATTAGAGTAGCATCGTGGCAGTGGTTGCTAAGAACTGGCTGATTAAGGCAGTTGGGCCACCCTTCATGGGAAAGAAGAGTCTCGCTTTTCTTGTTTTTTTTTTTCTTTTCTTTTTAGATCTTCTCATTAACAATTATTTCTCATTATCATCTTAGACAATTTCCATGATTATTCACAATATCACTCAAAGTATACATTTATTTATTTAATTATTTATTCACGTTTTTGAACGTAGCGATCGCCGCTCCTCTAGATTCGCCTGTTAAATTCTTTTCTCTCGCTGGAGAAGTGTCTTTGAATTAGAGGGGAAAAAAAAACGAAAAAAAAAATATACGTGTTTATATATATATAAGATAGTTATCCTTGTAGGAAATTATCCAATTTAAAGACGTAATTTATTTTATTATCGTTTGTTATTATTATTATCATTATTATTATATTACTCGCGGAAGAAGAATTGGAAAGTTTATCACCACACGTTTGTTGTTTTTTTTTCTTTCTCTCTCTCTCTCTCTCTCTCTCTTCTTGGCATTTAATAACATGGAAACGGCAGCTGTGATATGTAAGATTTAAAAGACACAGAGAGAAGTTGACCCCTTTTTTAAATGGCTTCTTTTAACAACAATTATTTCATATTCGTACGTATGTATTTTTATCTTTGACAAATAAAAGAATTTTTATCTTCTCCAAGATCGATCTTATCGATCAAGAGAGTATATAACATTATGTGTTAGAGTTTTTACAAAAGGGGAAATATATATGACGAATGAATGCAAAAGTTTTAAATAAGATGATTTCGAGAACGTCGAGAGATAGAGAAAGATAGATAAAGAGAAAAATGCGAATTTTATGGATTAATATCTAAGTGAAAATGAACCTTTTTCTCTATTCGTCGAACTAACGTATTTAACATTTTTTACGATGTTTCTACATCCTGAACAAACTGATGTCTTTTAATGGTTCCGGCTCGATATAGGTTCTGGTCACCAAGCTTCCGTATAACGAACATCAAATTCTTGCAATGCCGGTAATCTTTTCTTCAATGATTCGAAAGTCTGAGCCGAGAGTTTGGTACTATTCAAATTTAACTTTCTTAAATTTGTCAGAGCTGAAAATGTAAAATAAGAAGAAAACGTTGAAGACAAGATAATGGACAATTTTGTTACTTCACAGTATCGTATACTTTATTATCGTTATAATACTCACAAGCTAAAGTAGAGATGCCTTTATCCGAAACTGGTGTTTCACAGAGATTTAATACTTGTAATTTTTGCAAATGTTCGCTGATCATTTGCAAGCCAGCGTCTCCAAATTGAGTAGCCCAGAGATTTAAATACCTCAACGCTGGTAATTTAATCAACTGTTCGGCACAGGCGGATGTAACAGATGTAAAGGCTAAACTGAGACACTCTAAATTACCTAAAGCACGTCCACCAAGTAGGAGGGCAACGTCGGCGTCTGTTGCCCGTACTGGAAGTGTCAATTTTCTTGGACCACCTTTTTGTTGCTGTTGATTTAAAATAACATTACTTATTATGAGCGAAGAATTGGATTAAAATAAAATTAATAATTATAATAAAATTAATCAATCTTACCAATTCTTGTAAATTCCTTTGCCTCTGACAGAGTGCAGCGTAACGGGTTTTACCAGAAGGAGTAGATTCGAGGGCATTGACTATCTGAAGCCTAGCTTCTTCGTTTGGCAGTAGACGCCACTCGAGCATAAGGCATAGTGCTTCTTGGGCAGCACCGCATCCTCTGACAGCAAGGAGAATACAATCGTCTTTAGCTTGTTTCATCAACGAGCCAACAAATCTTTTTCTTCGACAACAGCATGCCAGAAGTGTAGTCAGCTGTTGAATATTCTTCGATAAGTATATTTTTTTGTAGGAGACAAATAAGAAGACAAGAAAGATTGACCTCTTTACCATTTCGCCAAATAGTTCGCCACGATCAGGACAAGCAGGACTGGATGGTGCAGCTATGTGAAGCCAACCTGGACGTGGTTCTCTGACTGGAAGGAGAACTTGATGAACCGCACATCTCGAATCCTTAGCCAAACGTCGAATAGCACGAGCAAGAATCGATTTCTGTACTTCCTTAACGGTAAGAGCTTCTTCAGGAAATGGTACTGGTTGTAACAAACCAGCTAAACCTGGTCTCCAGTCAGCATATTCTGATCTACACATGTAAAATGGTGTATATTATGTCAATAGGAATCAAACCTTAAGAGAGAAACAGTCTTTTCATTGAAAAATCATCAACTTACGCAACATTTAAAACTAAAAGGTAACAATCAAGAGGTGGTAATGTCGAGGATGGTTTATCCTCGCCTCCATTTGAACCACCACAATTGCCATCTTCGAACCTGAGAAAAGAAAATCTTACGCTCGTATAACGTGTATTTCGATAATATATGCAACATAATATTCCATAAATCTAAAATGTATACAATGTCAAGAATATAACTGTATAAAACTTTTCCAAAAGAAGTAAGTTAGAATAACGAACCTATGAAATATAGCAGCAACACAGACTGAGACCAAGTTTGGTAATACTCTTGGATGAGGACAATCACTTCCAGGTCCATGAACGGAAGCAATATATTCCCTGATCGCTCTTTCACCATCGTTACCCTCGTTACTATCGTATAGAGCGGCAACAAAAACTTGCAAGAGTTTTCTCATATCCGGAGACTTGCCAAAATCAACGGTATGTTTGAGGCACCTGGTGATAGCCGGAGCGAGGTACTTTACTAAACGAAATTTAGGATGTTGTCGAACTAATCTAGCTAATACACGAGCTAATGCAGCAGGTGGAGCAGCTTTTTCGAGGAGCGGCGCGGCAACTGGCAAAATGAACAGAGCCCAACTTCCTTCCTCTTCTTTTGTCACTTCTATTTTCTCTTTTTCCTCGTCATCTTGCTCTATTAATGATTTAGAACCCCAAGGTGCCTCCAATAATTTTGCTACGGCCTCCATGGCTGCACAAGCTACTCTTTCATCCTGAAGCGGCGTAGACAATGCGAATTCTACCATTAAACGTAATTCACGTAGGACAACGTTTTTTGTGCTCACCGATGCTTTGTGTTTAAATTGGAAGAGACTTTTCTGGAAAAAAAAAAAAAAAAAAAAAAAAAAAAAAAAGAAATAAAGAAACAGAAAATAAGTATTATATCGATTAACATTAATATATATTATATTATTCCAAGTATATTTTTTTCTTTTTTCATTACATATACCTTACCTTCCAATTTATAGAATGATACCACTGGTCCCTCGTATAAGAATCATTTGCTTGCAATAACAATGAGCCATTACCTAAATATATTCTTAAGCAACTTTTATACGTTGTACCCAATCTACCGACGGCGTACTTTTCAACATAAAAACTGCTATATGGAATTGGTTGTTGTAAGAAACCAGTAGCCTGTAAAATGAAACAAAGACAGAAGCTTTATCATCTACAATCTAATTTCAATTTGAATATATGTCAACATCAAAATATTAAGTCACGAATAAATTTTCTTCGTGAAACAAAAAAAAGAAAAAAAGAGAAGGAAAGAAAAAAGAAATAACAATGTAGGATCGATAGTCAATGCGGACAGGAAGTAGAAAGATCTATGGCGATATATCATTCCGGATGTTATTACGTCAGAATGACGTCAATAAGTCGAATTCACATCGACCAGAGTTTTGCAAAAACTCTTGAAGAAGTTCTATAAGGAAGAAAAAACGACTTAAGAAATGAGACTTTTAATATCCCAAAATGAAATTTTTAATATTCGCATATGCATGCGATTTAGAAATAAATTCATTAATTATATTTGCGATTCATTATTAATCCAATATAATCTCTCCCTCTCTCCCCTCCATGTCATATTTTTCATTAAAAAGAAAATAAAAAAAAATAAAAAAAAAAAAAACAAATAAATGAATACAAAAGAATTGAAAAGGGCATGAGCCTGCGCGGAAGAACGGATGACGTCAGTAGGACAAAACTAGGACGAGGGTTGAACGACTGTCGAAGGGAGCTGCTGCTAACTCAAATCTGGGACACTGCATCCCCTGAATGAACTCAGGTATGCCACCAACACTAACACCAATAATACCACCACAACTAGTGACGTCGATCATCTTTACATATATATGACCCACATACATATCCTATGTATTCAGATAATTTTTCCAGTTACAAAAGAATTCGAAGCTAAACGAGTGAATGAAATAATTTACAAAAACAAAAAATTATTTCTTATCATTTTAATTTTTAATAATTATTATAATATCTTTGTACAAGAAATTATATTAGAATTATTGTTCATCGGTTATAGAATTTTATTATATACTGCTTATATAAAAATTTATATATCATAATTATTCATACTAGGGCAAAAATAGTATATTATATATCAAACTGATAATATATTCGTTTATAGGACCATATTTCAATTAATAATATCATTTACGAGAAATAAATAGATGAAGATTATATACAAGTTTTTTCTCGTACAAAGAGAACTTTAAAAAGAAAAAAGAAAAAAAGAAAAAAGGAAAAAAGAAATAGAAAAGATAGAAATAACAAAAAAAAAAATATATGTGAATACGTTTCTATGTTATTATGAAAAGACCAGGCAAAAGTGTTCTTTGGAATGTATGTAACACGCAACAGGTATTTTCAACATGTTATATTCAAGCTATAATTCAAATTACAAAGGTGATTACGATCGCAAACGTGGCGATCTTCGTTATCGAAAAGTTATTATCCTCATTCTCCAAGAAAAATAGACAGAGACAGAGTGAGAAAGAGAGATATATATAATAGAATGACGTTAAAAGAGAGAAGTTTGACTCGACGTTCCTTTATCATGAATCATTCGAACGAACGTTCTTATCAAATTATGTTACCAGATGTATTCTATTAAAGTTCAATAAAAAATGCAGAAAATACAAAAAAGAAAGAAAGAAATAAAAAAGATATATCAATTTCACGATTGTTAAGGCCGATAAAAATATTCACACTTGTTACTTCTAATAATGTATGAAGGAAAATTATAAAGATGAATAAATACTGGTAAGGAAATTTTTAAAGAATGGATTATAAAAAATGAGCTTGTGTGACAGGTATGATATACGTTCAGTTTACTCAAACTGTTTAAAATAGAATCTAAAATGACAATTGAAATATATATACACATATATATCGTGTGTCTTTTAATATAATTCGATACATGAAATATATAATGAATTATAGTTTATAGATATATGTATATATTTATATATATATACATACATATAAATAATAAAACAAAGAACATGATTATTTTATTATTTAAAATAAAAATCAAAAGAAAAGAATTATTTCTTTTTGTTCTTTTCTAGAAAAAAAAAAAAAAAAAAAAAAAAAAAAAAAAAGAAGAAGAAGAGAAAAACAAAAAAAAAACAGAAATGATGAGATCATGTCAGAGAAAAAACTGAATGATGATTTCGCGTCATCCAATCGAATTAATTTCGCAGCTGTATCCACAATTATCGAATTTCGAGTAATCATGATATTGGAATTTATATCCAATCCTAAGCAATCGTCCTTACAATTAGTTTATTCTATTTTTAAATTCTTTTTTTTTTCCTCTAAAAATGTTGAAGTTATAAAGTAGCTTAAAACAAGAGAGAATGAAAGATAAAAATTATTAAAAGGAAATAACTAATCTCAATAGTTATATGAATGAGCATAACTTTCAATTATGTGTTATAAATCTAATTTTGTAGACATATATGATTCTTGCTATAAAAAAAACATTACATTTATCTAAATAATTAATACACTTCGTAAAGTATATTATTATCTCTGATGAAAGAGAGAGAGAGGAGAACACAAGTATAAATCACATTTAAATAATCCACATAATTTTGAATAATGTGTTACAAAGTTCATCTCTTTTGTATTTTATATAAGATCGATATCTAGAAAGGATAATATTTTTAAATAATAAATAACACTAATTTCTCTATAAAATTTAATAAAAGCTTCAAATCTTTTTTATCCTCTCTCAACGAGAAATTATTCAAATTTAAATATCTCGATTCGCACGTGCTATAATTTAACATAGTAAATAAATAATTAAGCATAAGGCAAAATACATTTAAAGTGTAAGATATAGAAAGGTAAACATAAAACAAATTACTAAATACTAATTAATAACTTAAATATATGTATATATTTAAGTTATTAATTATAATTATACGTTTAAATTGATTACTTCTAATTAATTACTTTTAAAAGAAAGATAAAAAGAAATCGTAAAAGACTGCAACGTATAATATTTTAGGCATGTAATTGAACTTGTTGTTAAAGAAAAATTAAACTAAAAAAATCTTCACGATAAAGAGTGAGATTGACTTGGAATCATTTAGAAATTTTTAGGCCATCCCATATAAAAGTAGTTCGAGAGAAAGAGAGAAAGAGAGAGTGTGAATAGACAGAAGGAATGGTTAGAACCCACGGTCAGTTTTGACGTCACGGTGCTCGCATTTGTCGCGCGCAAATTACACGCGACAATACACGCGTGTCGACACAACACTTACAATTAGATAGAAAGAGAAAGAAATAGAGAGGGAGAGAGAGAAAGAGAGAGGAAGAGAATTTCTTGTACGCTATAAAGGACAGCTACATGTGCGCAAATGTGGTCATACGATGTGATAAAAGAATTTTCGTTCTTTTTTTATCTTTGCAAATGACATATCTTTCCGCTACAAAAACGTACCCCTTTTTCTTTCTCTCTTTTCCCTTCATCTTCTCTTTTGTACATTCTCATATTTATATAATATATATTTAAATAATTTTCTATTTATAATAATTGATACTGTGAATTAAATCGTTCGATTAAGTAATATAATAAGAATTCACGTTTATAATAAACTTTTCCTTTGATTCTTCGTATCTTAAGTATTCTAGAAGAGATAATGAATTTTTTTAAGGAAACTTCTCGACGAATGTGTTATGAAAAAAATAATATATCATTTATTTATAATATTATTTTATTAATAATAAGATTATTAAAAAAAAAAGATATATATATATATATATGAAATAAGCGCATTAATAAATGTAAAATATAAAGTAAATATATAAGATAAATCAAGTTGATCATGAAATCGAATCGATAAAAGGAGAAATTCTGATATAACAATAGTTTGTTTATTTAATTTTTTGAAATCTTATTATTTATCAATAGATATTAGATAAAAGAATAATGTTAAAGATTATAAAGGAGGAATATAAAATAATAAAAACTCACCGTTTTCGAGGATAAGCAATCGTCGTTCAAATAAATATGATGAGTTTCCCAACGTCGTAAAAATTTAATGAACATGATCTTCCTGACGAGTGTACGATCGTCATGATCGAAATAATAAACTTGAACGTCTCCCTCTTCCAAAAGTTTAAATCTAGGACCGTATCCGGCTAAAGGTTCAGGAGTACCGATGGTATAAATGTCTTCTAAAAGTCTTTCTAAAATATTACAAGAACGTGCAGCAGGTACTTTGGGTGGAGTTAAACTAATAGTAACTGGACATGAATTGATTATAGAATCAACCTCCATAGAATTATCGTCGAGCATGGAATAACAAGCGCTTAAAGAATTATCGTCGAAGGGATCTCTGGTATTATCGCTGCTAGCCGATTCGCAACTAGACGATCTCGTCGTGGGAACACAAAGTCCGGTTGAAAGTTGTGGCGAACTTGTACTGGTTGTTTCTTGTCTGATTGTACAACCATTAACAGAAAGAAATTCGTAATAAGGAACGGTACTCGACGATGTTAAAACAACTTTCGATGCAGCAGCGGGACTGGAAGGTAACGAGGAAGCTTCTTCGGTTTCAGCGTTATCCTCTTCCTCGTAATCGTCATCTTCCTCTTCCTCCTCTTCGCTAGCATCGAATCCATTTTCAATAGAAAGTAAATCATCGCTCGTAGAACGATTGGTCACGTTTATCGGAGAGAGAAGGGATACTCTGGAAGAAGCACCTTCGGCGGCACCATCTTCTTCTTCGGTTTCGGTCTTTCCATCGTCCGTAGAAGAAAATCTAGTCGTTAAAGGATCGTTTCTCGTTTCGACAGCACCCGGTGATAAGGATGACGACGAGGACGTTGATCTTGATGTTGACGATGATAATTCGGTATTATTTGTAATATTATTGGCGGTTAAATTGCCATTGCCAGATGACGGTGACGAACAATTAGCTGAAGATATATCCTTGAGAACGTCGATACCATTTAAATGTACGGTTACATCGTTAGGCGAGGTCAATGAATCTCTTGGTTCAGGTGACAAAGGATCAACGTCCAAATAATCGATCCTAATCCCTGGTAACGTATCGGTACTACTACCTTCCGATACCGAAGCCTCTTGATCGATGTATCTGATAGACGATGATCCAGATCCTTCACTGGTTGCTTCCGAAGCTCTTCTCTTCGGAGATTCTTTATTTTTCTTTGTTTTTGAATTTAAAGCCGACGTGGAATTTATCCCGCGAGATGTTCTCGTGAATGGACTCTGAAAGCCAAACATTTCTTCTTCCTTTTTCTTCTTCTTCTTCTTCTTCTTCTTCTTCTTCTTCTTCTTCTTCTTCTTCTTCTTCTTCTTCTTCGATTCTCTATCCCTTCACTTCCTTTCTTTCTTTCTTTCTTTTAGCGTTCCTCCAAATTCTTAAGACTTTTTTCAGAAGAATATATGTATATATATATATATATATGTATATATATATGTGTGTATATATATATATATATATATATATATATATATATTTCTAGAATATTCCAAAATAGCGAGGAAATATCATTTTTCAAACATACCGGAAGTAGAATTTTTGTCGAACGCGTTGAAACCAATCCCGACACATTTCGCTTCTTGATAACTGATAATGCCTTCTCCCTTTTTTATTACATCAAGTACATATCAAAGAGAGATAGGGAAGTACCCGAAAGTAAAAGAGATTGATGGACCAAGTAATACGATAAGATAGAAAAGAGATCGACTTAAATGTCTTGAATATCTTGCAAATGTTCACAATCAAACTCACTACTTCCTCTTCATTTTTTCTTCTTATTCTTCTTAAAAAGATTAAGAAAAATCCTGAAAAGAAAAGAGAAATAAGAATATTATTAGGAAGAAATTAGTCAAACAAACAAATTCGACTTAGGAATACGTATGAAAAATATGTGTGTATGTGTTTCGCTTAAAAAAGGCGTCGCGGCGCTCGACAACAAATATCGATTATATCGCAAGAGTCGCTCCCTCTTGTTGACTTATTATTTGCTTTTACTTGCTTTTTTGCTTATCTTTTTGTTTTTATTTTTTTCTTATTTTTTTCTTTTTATTATTTTAATTTTATTTCTCTCTTTAAAATTATCAATCAATCAATCAATCAACCAATCAATCAATCAGTCAGTCAATCAATAAAAAGCACGCGGATAAAATGGAAGAAAAATTAACGTAAACGATGACAAAAAATTGCTTTCTTTTTTTCTTTCTTTCTTCTTTTCTTCTAGTAATAAATCTTCCTCGAGTTGGACCTTCTTCGAAAGGACGACGAACTCTCGACGACGTTGAACTCGACAATGGCGAACTCGACGAGAGTGTGACGAGCAGGCGCTCTCCTTTCTTACCCCCTCCCCTTTCTTTTAATATTAATATATATATACACCTTGATATATTATATGTAGGTATATATGTATGTACGTATATTACTAATGCGATCACAAACACATAACACACACACACACACACACACGCGCGCGCACACACACACGCACACACACAAAAGGAACGACCTTTCTTCTTCTCTAGAAAATAATCTTTGCTTCCGGTTGTAATATCTGCCCATTAATTTTTTTATTTTATTTTTTTCTTTTTTTATTTTTTTTATTTTATTTTCTTTTTATTTTTTTTTTTTTTATACAGCAGAAATATCTGAAATTGTTTAACAATTATCTTTTCTTCTTTTTTTTCTTCTACTTTATTCTTTTTTAATCTTACTCTTCTTCTTCCCCTTATATTTTTTAATGATTTTATTAAACAAAGCAAACGACAAAGTAGTAGTAGTAGTTACTACGTTTTCCTCAGCTCGTTTTTCTTATTCCACGCTCTCTCCTCGATCGATCGCTACTGCGAACTCTCTCGTGTTATTACGTCAAACGTGGCCGTCGCAAGCGGCTATTGAAACGAACGAGTGTATGTATTTATAAGCAAGAGTCTAACGCACGTTCCGAGCGTTTTCTTTGACGTCTAGAAGACGACTACTCTAAGAATAAGAAAACGAGAGAGAAAGAGGGAGAGAGATACTAATAAGAAAATATAAGATGTGAATCTGTCTATCTCTCTTTCTCTCTTTCCCTCTCTCTCTCAATCTCAATAAATATAATAACTAAACAAAAGGCTCTCTCATATACATTGTGTTGTTTACCAGTTACTAATCAAATAACTCACGATACACATATCTTTTTCATTATTATCAATCACAGATTTACACTGTCCATATCTTTTTCAAATTATAAGTAAACGAGACATGTTTTACATTTGACGAATAAATAAGAAAAAATTTTCTAACGAGTACATGAATAAAATAGAAACTGACTAACTCATTCTTTATAAATGTTTTCGATATTATTGATTTAAAAAATATAATAATAATAATAATAATAATAATACACGTTTGATTTTTAATATTCAATCTGTTTGCTTTTTTAACTCCATGTGATTTTTCTTTTTTTTACCTATTCATTTATTTATGTCTAACGATAGTAAGAAAATATAATTAAAAATAGAGAAATAAAAAATATATAGAATTATGTTGAATTTAATGAAATCACACACTTTCGTTGACGTCTTTCTCTCTCTCTCTCTGTCTCTCTCTCTCTCTCTCTGTCGGAATGATCTATCCGCAAACGACGCGTCTACACCGGCGCTGTGACGCGACTGCGAACTGCTAACCTCGCACGCGCGATAATGACTGCGCTGCTCAAGCGTCTAGCTTAGAGAGAGAGAGAAAGAGAGAGAGAGAGAGAGAGAGAGAGAGAGAAACTGCGAAACGACAAATATACTACATATACTCTGCTCGATATAATTTCCAAACTAGTCTCCAACTATCCATCATCTCTTCTCATCATTTTTTTCTTATACATAATTGCATCATCAACAAAAAAAAAACATTCAAAAGAGAATGTTGTAAAACTTCATTAATGATAACGAACACATTTTGATTTATTTTTAAATAATGTAAAATTTAACGATACATATATATATGTATATATAGATATAACATCGATGATATAAAACAGTAATGGTTTTTATCGATTTCATGACGTGATAAAAATGATTAAATACAAATACACATTCTGCATTTTTCACGACATGAAGATGTATCGTCGGATAGATTAAATTTCTTTTAGAAATATGCCATCTCCTTTTTCTTTTGTATGTATACATTAAAAACATATATGTACATATATTTATATATGTAAATAATATTTCTTATAGAATATATCAAAGTTTGATAAAGGAATGTATCAGAGTTATTTTTCTTGGGGTAATTTTAAATCGCTTCGTCCAACATCCATCCAACTTTCTATTTCCTCAATCCTACGATTAAATAAAATAGAATAATTATTATTTTTTGTTATGCTTAGAAATTGAAATTATGATTTTATTTTTTTTCATATGTAGTATTATACTCACGTTCTAGGAACTTGCGTTAAATTTTCAACTCCTGTCTCAGTAATTAAAACGTCATCCTCAATTCTAATACCACCCCAACCACGAAATCTTTCCAATTGTTCTCTTACGATAAATCGAGATTGTTTTGGATCAGTTAATGCAGCGTCAAGTAACTATCGTTGAATGATCATTGAAACGGTAAGTGATCACCATTGGAAACTTCAATAAAAGTGATCAGCCTTTAACTTACACAATCGATGAAATAACATCCTGGTTCTATCGTTAATACCATGCCGGCAAGTAATGTACGAGCTGTTCTTAACTTTCTTATGCCCGCTGATGTTGAACGTTCCGGATGTCCTGGAAGATAGCCACCAACATCATGAACATCCAAACCCATAAGATGTCCAAGACCATGAGGTTGAAAGATTTCGTTCAAGCCAAATTCAATCATCTCGTTCACATCTCCGATCAACAGTCCACCTTCTTTTAATGAAGCTAACATTCTCTTGTTAGCTAAAAGATGCATATCTGTCCAAGATACGCCAGGCTTAGCTGCTTCTATAACTGCATCTCTTGCGTTCAGCACAGCGTTATAAATGAACTTTTGATCGTTCGTGAATTTTCCATTTGCTGGGAAACTACATGTTATGTCTGCTGCATATCCACAGTAATTCCCACCCATATCGAATAAGCTGTGTAAAATATATATATGTATACATATATATATATATATATACACAGATATATACGCGCGCGCGCGCACACACACACACACACATATATATACCGTACATACGAATATTGTATTCTATATAGAATAAAAAGTATGTTTAGAAGGATGACTATCTCTGACATTTTCTTACCACATATCACCGTCTTGTATGATTTTACTGTTAGGTGCTCCTGCATGTCCATAATGCAAAACAGATGCATTATATCCTGATCCACAAATGCAAGTATAAGAAACGTGTCTGCAACCTCCAATCGAATATACGTAATTCATAAAAGCCGCTTCAGCTTGGAATTCTGCAAGACCCGGCCTCACCATACGCATTACAGCTTTATGGGCTTCTGAGCTTATCCTCACCACATATCTCAATACATCAATTTCCTTGGCGGTTTTTATTACTCGACTATACATAAAAAATAAAAAAAAAATAGAACGAAATAGAGATAAAATTAAATGTAACTTTATCATTAATAATACATAACGTAATACATGCAATCTTTTTTTCATAACTTTTATTCCCTGTACAAAAAACTCAAAGATCTACATTTTTATATAAAATATCAATTCTATAAAGACCGACCATTAGTGTTTTATAACGCGTCCTCGGCTGCTTCGAAATTTTTTATCAAATAATTAGATAATTCCTCTGGTTGATCGAACAATTTTTCTAATGTCATGTAATCTAAACATACTACGCGAAAACCCAACTTTCTTATCTGCCTTTTTCTTGTTACTTGTGGGCCTATCAAATGCTTTGTATTTCGACAATAATGTTCTGGCAAATGGATTAAAATGACAGTGTTTAAATTTCTATTATTTTCCAAGTTGAAAATTTCTGTTGACACGGACAATGAATGTATCAGTATATCGAGTACATAAAAATTAATGAATGGTAATTTGCTTAAAAGAACATTTTTACTTAATTTCTTTTCTTTACCTACTACAGACTCCAATGGTTTATATATTTGATTAATTATTCTTCTTAAACGTACATCCACGAACAATGATTTTGCTATATTATTCGAATTAACGCGAAAATTACGATAATGTTCGCATTCTATATACATTGAAGCATCAAATAATATTAGTTTGTATAACAAATCCTTGTTGAAGATGGTATTTCTCTTTTTGTAAATTATATCTAGAGAATGCGATTTAACTACCGTTTCCCAGAAGCTTAAAGGATATTTTTCTAAATGGATACAAGAAAGTAAAATATCTAAAATCTCGTTTGGTTTCAAATCTAAACATTTTTCAAATAATACTTCTTCGAATACTTCCCAAAACAATTTACTATGAGGTGGCCGTATGTCTAATAAACCAAAGGGCATAAGAATTGGTGCCAATAAGGATGCGGGCAACTCCTTTCCATATTTTATAAAATATTCTCCACAAATAGAAATAATATGGACGTTCCTGACTCTCATAGTTCCGCAATAATTCATAATAGTAGCTATTAATCGAGGATCTTTAATATGAATACCTTTAGCTTTCATATACTCCTCCAACGTTAATTCTATTCTATCATCGATATATTTCTTTGCATACAAACTTTGAATAAAATCAATAAGGTCTTTCTCTTTAGAGGTATTCATACTCATAGAAGCCCACTTACTGGCACTCATTAAACATCCTGATGATAATACATCACGGTGATAACAATTTAATATTTCTCCTATCTGAGAACCCGTTAATCTCAGCCAATGTTCAGAAAGCTTTCTCTCTAAGATAATTCTCACCATGTTCTTACTTTGGTTAAACAAATACATAAGCTTAAATAATGGTACTAATAAATCCGCATTAATTTCTTCCTCTCTATTCGTTATACCCACCCACAACATGTCAATAAATTCTTGGTATCTAGAATCTTTATAAGAAGACAAAACTTTTACGACATCTATTAATTGTGACAAAGTAAAGTCGCCATCCGATGCTCTAATTAATGCTTCGTCGGATAAACAATCACGATAGATATTTCTAGCTGGACTAAACTTGTCTTTCTTCAATGCACAAAGGCCTTCTATTATCATTTGACTGTCTTGACTTCTGACAATCATCTTAACGAGTTGTTTCAAAATGGCATCTCTGTTGATAGTATTTACAACCAATTGCTCTTGTCTTAATAGCTTTGCATTTTTGTATCTTCGTTGAACATTTTCCATTTCAATGATCTTTCTTAAACCTTGAAGGGCTATTCTACAATTAATTTCATCCGCAATTTTGTTCTCTAATAAAGAATATATTCCTTTAGTGGAATAAGAAGAATTCAATCCCTCTAAAATTTCCTCTATATTCGTATGTTTAAGACATTCTAAATCGGAAGAAAAAAGTATAGCAGTTCCTTCATCGGTTTCTATGTCTATCCTCTGTTTTGCAATTTTGGTTTCGATATCTATCTTCTCCGCCGCTTGCTTACGATTCCCTTTGGATATAACTCCAAGTTGTTCCTTTTTCTTAAATGTGTCCAAGTACCGAGAATCGAGAGGAGTCTCATCGTCCTTACCTTTAACGTTACATACAAGTCCAATGTCGTTGATCTTTTTCACGATCATGGGGAGTTCTTGTATATACATTCCTTCTTCCAAGAAAATAGTAGTCCGAGCGAGAGCTTTCGAGCTCCTATAATCTCCTCTGTTGGATTCTAACCTTAATTTTGAAGCGAATTCTTTTGTATGTAAAAACGAGCGGAAGAGAAATTTTCCACATGCCTGACCCGATATTATCATCTAAACGAAGCAGATATTAATTATAATAAATTTCTATTAAAATATTTCATTTCTCTTTACTTTTCTACATACTTACAATGACGTTTACGAACCATAATATTTTCTATTGACCAAAATGTACAAATGTTTTCCCATGCATTGTAAAACGTGTTATATTAAAGACAACGATTCGTTTGTCTTCAAAAATATTTTTAATTCTTAATAAAATTAAATTTGATTAATATCTCTAATTGTAAGAAAAACGTATCGAAAATTAACGAGAGATACTAAATATTAAAACACAAATACACGTCGAAATACATTGACGCCATATTGACTTTCGATTTTCTCGAAAGATGAAAGCACCAATAGAAAACTTCTCCGGAAGGAGAACGTTTATGATTGGACGATCAATCAAATTCCGATAAAATAAAAATTATACAATAAAAATATATTAATTTAACTTACCATTCGCATATTTCCGGATATAGCGTATTATTATCAACTTGAAATCTATCAAATAAAGAATAAAAACATACGATCAATGAAAACTTCTTTAAACGCTTTCTCTTATTTAATTAATAAATAAATAAATAAAAATAAAATTAAATCCGCTTACTGTCCTATTCCATCGAAGACAGCTTCTTGAGCGTACAATCCACTATCGCTATTTTTACCACTCTGAAATAAAAAAGAAAAAGATCATATAACATTTCCAAAAATAAAAATTCTCTTACATAATTCAAAAAAATACAAAATCATAAGAATTCCACAAATTCTTTCATTATATATTAAATAACCCTTACCAAAGTTAATAAAAGAGATGCACTTTTGCCTTTCAATATTCTCCCTATTTCATCAGTATAATAAGTCTCATCAACGCCATAACGTTTTTTAAAATCTTCCAGTGTATGTAACTTTCCCTCCCAGATAGCATATTCTGCGGGTAATCTTGGTACAAATAAAATTGATTTTTCTAAAGATAAATCAAGAGCTCCATAGCATCCAGGTTCCTCAACACCAAAACACCATTGAAAAAAAGATTCCTATGGAAAAAGAAAATTAAAAAAAAATCAATTAGAACAATATAATAACATTTCTTTAAAAATGAAATTCAATTTCATAAATATTAATAACAATTATATTTTAATTGTTGAATTATTTCTAAAAATAACCTTTATCTTTAGGTTATCCCAAAAAAGTATTTATTTTTTTAATTCATTATATATACATGAATTTATAAATATAATACATTAAAAAGCTGAATTAAATTCAATTCTAAAAAAAACTAGATACATTTAAAATCGATATACATATATACATAAATGTAAAAATAAGAGATATACAGGTACATATATATCTTTCTTTGTTTTGAAAGAGTGTTTAACGGAAATAGCAAGCATACGCAAGCAAGACAAGCATATCTTGCTTGTCTATCGTGTTCGAGAATTTTATGAAATTAAAATTTGAAGGTTTAATATATATTAAGAGTTAAACTTAATAAATATAAATACGAATCTCATCAGATGCTATTTTAATCAGCTTTCTGAGTTGGTAAATGATAGAATTCGAAATAAGATGTAAAGGCCATAATAGGTCAATGTACTTTTAGTATATATACCATATGACACGCACATATACATAATAAGACTTTTGAAGAAGTCTGTGTCTATATAGATGGTGAGCCAAAAGTTCCCAACCATTTTTCAAAATCAGTTACTAATTTTCGAGGCTTTTTAGGCTAATCCTTTTTGTTTTTTTTTTTTTTTCTATTCATAAGACCTGTTAAAGTGTTATTACATAATACTAACAATAAGTATTAGTAATAAATAATAAAGTTTCATAATATAAATAGAAAAATCATTTCTAAAAATAAATCGATTTCGTCACATTTTCCGTTTAGTCCGGGACTTATATAAATAGGGAAACCTACCTGCCTAAAAGGCCAGTTGATGTCCGTATCGTTGAAAGAGATTTCGATCCCTCCTTGAAGAATAACAAAAGTATTAGCAGCTGGAAGATTGGTATTTCTTTTTAAACGAGCTAGAAGTCTTTCACGATTTTCTCGAAAAAGGGATATAGGTACTTTAAGAGTATGGTCGCCACGTGTAAAATAAGATTCCATGTTGGATCTGGAAAATAAAAATAAAAATATTTGTTGGAATTAAAAGGGAAACATTATTATTATTATTTATTTAATAAAAAAAAAAAGAAAATACATTAGTCATAAACTTTAATACATGAACATTCGAACGGAACAAATTGACGATGAATACGTTCCGAATAATTTCGAGCCGTGAGAATGAGATACCATATATTATTTTTTTGCAACGATACTTTCTAAAAAGAAAGTAGATCCGCAACATCAACGTTTACAATGTTATTATGCTCGTGCTGTTACTTCACGTAACTATACTTTTATATTTATGTTTACAGAAGTCGATAGTAGATTAAAATTGTTTGTCAACAAATATATTATGAATATTTTACATTATTAAAAGATCCAAACCTAATACTACTGCAACTCTTCTCCGACCAATGAAATAAATTATTAACTTTATCTACGAACTACGTCAGTCATTAATTTATTTATATATATATATATATATATATATATATATATATAAATTTTCTATGAAAAATTATCATAGACAATTATTCACGTATTATTATAAAAAGGATATAATCATGGAAAGAGGAATAAAAAAAATAACCAAAATATTTAAAAATATACATATTCGCACACACACACAAACACATATATATGCTTCTTAATTGCGATTTATTCGATCGACCGATCGTATCGTTTTATTTATGATCATACATTTTGAAGATATCTTTGCAAAGAAGAATGAAATATTAATTTCAATAGAAATTTATTTTCTTCATAAATTAAATTAAATGATATAGAAAAATATGAAGAAACGTAGCAATAGTACGTATACATACGTGACCGTAGAATCACATTCGGCCATCTTGCTTTCTGTCCAGTAATACACAACAAGTATAATAACCCGTTGCTTTGTATTTATTTCTTACTTAATCTCATTTACCAAGGTTTTATGTCGTGAAATAATTTTTTGATAAGAATTATAATAGGATAATCAGAAATAAGTCATATATTCATATGTTATCATAACTTACCTTACGTCATTATATCGATGCTTATTGGTTGAACCGATTAAATATGTTTTCAATGACCAATCAGAATCCAGCTGTGTACGTTCGATGTCACTTATTGGTTGTTTGTCATTCTCTTAGCTCAGAAATAAAAATAATACGATAATAATTTATTAATCTTTCATGTAATTGTTCCACTCAAAAAAACAATTGAATGATGAAATCATGTCAAAAATATTATTAACAATATCTTTGAAATTTCAAATGCTTAAATGTGTGCGCTTTATGTTATCATAAGTTACGCTCATCAATGACACTCGAAATTACACTTTTTGATATCAAAGTTCAATGATTTAATCGAATTAAATTTCGCAATAATTACTTCTTATTGTTTACAATGTTATCGATCACAATATTTATACTAACGATGTACGTATGTATAGAGTTGAGATCGTATGTATATATATATATATATATATATATATATATATATATATATATATGTAACTAGGTCACACATCTATGTTCATTATCATTATCTCACGTTGAAATCTGTGTCAATATGCAGCCAAGGTCAAAAGTTGTCATTAAAATTCCTCTTGTTTACTTCGTGAACGTATAGTAGGCGAGACATTTTAATCAATTAATATTTTTTAAAAGGAATACTTTAAAAAAACAAAAACAAAAAAACTGGAAAGAAAAAATAGCTGATATATGAAATCTAAAACGATAAACTTTGTTCGAAAAGAAGTCATGATTAAAAAAAAAGAAAAAAAAGAAGAAAAGGAAAAAAAAAGGAAAAAAAAAAATAAATAAAAAAGAAACTTCCGATAATAAATTAGCTGAGCGAGCAGAATGACAAATACAGTAGAGTCATATGATATTTATACCGTGCTATGCAATCAAAATTAACACTGCTTTCGAAAGTTTTCACAGTTGACGTCGTGCAACAATATAGAGGTTAATCAGATATCACACACATTTCAACTCGAGTTTTATACTATCTATTTTACTGCTACTAAGCTATTACTAATCGATGAATGATTCAAATTCGTATTATATGCCGAATGCAAAATGAAAAGATATATACATATAACACAACACAAATAATAAATATTTCGTTTTTTCGTCTTTACTCTCTTTTTATTTATTGTTTTGAATCGGAGACAAAAGAACCCGATGATCGTACAAGACGATTTATCATTTTATTCATGTATTCAATCTCTTAACGACGAACTTGAAAAAAAAAAAAAAAAAAAGAAAAAAAAAAAAAAAAAGAAAAAAAAAGTAGGAGCATAAATACTATCGTTTAGAAAAAGAAAAAAAATAAGACAAAACAAAAATAAATTTATAAACTTAATTCACACACACACACATATCCTCACATTCTTTTTTTTCTCTTTCGGTTTGATCACCAACACACAACTACGCAAAAGTATTTAGCATATTAATTTTCTTTAATAACCTAACTAAGGCGATTTCATCAAATAAAACATATATTCTTTCATTAGTGCCTCGCAAGCACCTTATACGCACAACCACACATTTCTACATTCATATTGAAGAGAGATACAGCTATAAATATCGATTATATTGTATCGGTTTTCATATAGAACTGTTTCCTGTTCAACAATTTCCTTTAACATGAGATATGAATCATTCCGCACTATGGGATTTGCCCTATTACGGACTGATTGCGTCGTATTCTAACCTATAAAAAAAAAAAAATTCATAGCAGAGAAGTAAATAACTATGCACTAAAACATGCATAGCAAAATATAATCGTATTTTCTTGATTTTCACTCTTCTTCCTTTTCTCCTTCTTGATTGATTTATTAATTAATTTAATTATATTTTTCCAAATGTCCCTTCACACAATCGAGCTTAATCACGCATAATACTCTAGAAGAAATGCAACGGCTTCGGTAATAAAAGTTGCATGATCGCTTCTCTTTCTCAAAAAAAGAAAAAAAGATAATCTTAATGAAATAAAAATCAACTTAGAGATCTTATAATCGATTTAAAAGGATGACATAATAATACGATCGTATTCTCTTCTTTTGTTCGTCAGAGTATGCATTTCTCATTTTGAAAAAAAAAAAAAAAATAAAAAAATAAAAAAAAAATAAAAAAAAAAAGATTCGTCGGAGAGTTTTTTGACCGAAGTTCGTGCTTTTCAACATTTTTTCTTCTTTCTTTTTCTTTTTTTTTTGGTGGGGGGCTGGTGAGGGATTTTGCAATCGTAATTTTAATTTTAATTTTCTTTCTTCCCTATAGTATATTATTCTATCTATTTCTACTAGGAAGGATGCAATTAATTATTTTAGTGTATTGAAATGCGCTGGAGGTAGCCGATGAGAATATATATATATACACATATATATATATATATATATATATATATATATATATATATATATATATATATATATCTCATTTATCGATGCACTTCGTTACTTAAATTATATTCATTTGATACACACTTTTATAACGTTACATATTTCCACAATATGATACTCATTTTTCGTTCTTACATATATGTATATATATGTGTGTGTGTGCAGGTGCATACGTGTACGTTGTGTGTGGTTAACGATATATACGTATCAAAGGAGATACTCAACTTCATATTAATTCAATGATATTTTAAGTATCATTCGAATTCCTTTCGAAAAACAAAATATTCTTTTTCAGTTTTCACTTGACGAATTGTGACAAGTAAAAAATAAAAAACATACGTTTTCTTCTTCGTCGTTAAATCAATTGAATTTATGTATATGTATGTCGAGTTTATTAACGTAACGTTCATTTATTAAAAGAAGTTATAACAGAGAGGAGGGACGTTCATAATTGTTTCAAATGACGTATTGACTCTGTAACACTTCTAATGATATTCACTTTAATTCAAGTTTCATCAATGAAGTACGAATCAAAAAAAGAAGAAAAAAAAAAAAAAAAAAGATCGAATGATTGCATAAAGAAAATGTCTTACGACCGAATTTTAATTTTACTGCGTTATGTCCGGCGACACAAAAATAAAAACGTTGCGAATATGTAGAATAACGAAGAAAAAAAGGACCACGGAGAGAAGAATAATTCTTCCTTTTTTATCTTCGTTTGTCCTTATGCCCCCCTCATTCTCTCTCACTCTCTTAGTCGAAAAACAACGGTTTTCCAAGAATCTCCCCCACTCCTAGAAAATATCGTCATTAACGTTTGTGTTGCACGTAAGAGACCTCGTGACTCGTCGATACGCCCCTGTGCGTCCTTAGCCGATCTTAGTCGAACATTGCCGAAGATCATCTTCGTTTTCCGATGCCGTCATTGGGTGTACGCAATAATGGCGGCAATGTATTTACAAACACGGCCATTCGTAGTGGAGAATATGCTGTAAACGTGTTTACATACACACACACACGTACGCACGCACGCACGCACAAATACACATACACACACGTACGTACGTATACACATCATATTTGGAGAGCGCCAAAAAACCGTTACTCATTTTATTTTCAATTTTTAGATACGATTCCTTCAATCATTTGTGAAAACATTATTTAAACGAATAAATTAAAAAAGAAAAGAAAACAAATTAAATTCTTTGGCGCCTTCTTTTTCTATGTTGAATCAGAATGATTTAGTTTGAAACAATCGAACCTTTTCTCTAACCTTAATTCTTTATTATTATTATTATTATTATTATTATTATTATTATTATTATTATTATTGTTATTATTATTATTGTTGTTGTTGTTGTTATTATAATTATTATTCTCTCTTTTACTTCTTCTTCTACACTTTTGATCGTCTCTTTATCTCTTTCATAAGTCCACAGACTCGTAAACCGATGGTTCATCTTCGGAGTCATAGAAATAAGGTTTCCTCCGATACAACCTCGATCGTTCCTTCGCACCATTCAATACCATCCCATCTTCCAAGACGTCTTCTTCCTCCTCTTCATCATCGTCTTCTTCATCATCTTCATCGTCTTCGAGTTGGTCGTTTTCCAAACGTTCCAATTCATCGATATTCGCTTGTAATCTTTTAACTGCTTCTTTGATCAAGCCACCTTCTCGTAAAAGTTCTTGCAAAAATTCATAGGGATCATCTTCTCTATCGTTATTGGAACAATTATGATGATGATGATGATGATGATGATGATGATGATGACGACGATGACGATGTCGGTGATGATGATGATTATACCGGTGGCAACATTGTTGCTGTTGTTGTTGACGATAATGAGTCTGCTGCCTAAGTTCAGGCTGACGATGAAGTTGTTGATCGTGTTCCTGTTGAAGCTGAACACCGTTCAACTTTTCAGTTCGATTTTGTGCAGCACAAATATCGCAACCATTAGGATCGGCCCAAGAAGAATGGGATGGTATCCGATAAGGAGTAGCTCGATTTCTATGAACTACGTTCGATTTAGCTTTCAATCCGCTTAGTCGTAAGTTCTCCTTGATTTGTGATACGAGAAGATCAACGTCGCGAGAAAGAAAATCCTGAGTTGTTTCTCCTGGCATTACTTCGATCAGGTACGTCGTATCTTGAGCAGTTGGCATTCTGGAAGATGATTTCGAAATCCTCTTTGTAATTAATCTTTTTCTAATATTTTTTCTAATCCCTTTCAATCCTTTAAAGAGATTGACTTTGATAGAAACTAGTCGATACTGATACTTATATACATATATATATGTATATATGTATATATATATATATATGCCTTCTCTCAACGATCGGATCGATTCTTTGTTTACAACAGAGACCGGCCGCCTCCTTGACTATTTGCACACAAAGATATATATATATATAGCACACGGGCGCACACACACATACACACACACACACAACGTTTCTCTTGTTGCGTGGCTTGGATCGATCAATGTACTCTTTACTTTTTAGCCCATATACCGTAAAAGTGACAAGGCCTCTATCGCTCTTTACATACGTACGTACCCACACTTATTATATGTATTTTTTATACATATACATATATATATATATGTATGTGTATATATATATATATAACGTAGAAGAAACACAAGTAGGAGTTCACGCGACAGAGAGATCACGTTGCTCTGTTATGCCGGAGCTTGAAGTACACGTCAATGATTCGATTGCCATGCGCTCGAACGCTCGCGCGCAATTACCATCACCACCAGAAGAGTACCAGCAGAGAGGAACCAGCAGTAGCACCACCACTATTACCACTCTACCATTAATCACGATGAGGACTATCCTTCTTCAAGCACGTTTGGACACCGCAAAGTGTGATTCATTCGATAAACACGCTCGATATTTATTCTATCCTCTTTCGCTTTTTTTTCTTCTTTTCTATCTTTCCTTGTTTTCAAAATTAATGAATTTTCCTTTCTTGATTTCTTTCCTTCGTACATTCACCGTAAAAATGTTGTTATTATCAATGAAATACAAAGCTTAATACGAAAGGAGTAACGCTTCATGTATATATTGTCCTTCTGTATACGTCATATATCAGTTTACTTTTATATAATATTTCATTTTCTCTCAAATACATTCAAACATTTTGTTTGGAAAAAGTAGCAGTGTTTGAACCCTGCCTTGTCCTTTATTTCTAACATTGCAGCTTCATCATCGCCGTCATCATCATCAATATTACTCTCTCTATTATTATTATTATTATTATTATTATTACCGTCACGTTTACTCTACTATTTGGATCGATTCAACGCTAACTATTCTCTTATTGATGTATACTCTTTCTACATATTAAATCATATTTTGGAATATATATTCACACAGTAAAGAAATGATAACACAAAGCTTCTCTTTTTTTATCTTAACAACACACAATGTTAATGTAATATACTGAGAGAGAGAGAGAGAGAGAGAGGGAGAGAGAGAGAGAAAGAGAGAGAGAGAAAGAGAAACACAGGAAAACACACAAAGAAGAAGATCAAACTCTGTCGTTTGTTATATACTTGTGGAACGGGACGATGATCACACACGTTCGTCCATCAGCCATGAACCTTCTTTACTACTATGTTATTATTGTTTTGGCCACGTAGCGCATGCGCGCATATATTCCCCTCCACTGTCTTGTAAACAAACCGTTAACTCGCGAGCCCCGGCGAATCGATAATACCCTCTTCTCTCGCCACGTCCCAGTTCCACGTAACTTTACTTTCTCTCTCTCTCTCTCTCTCTCTCATCATTCTATTTACATCCCCACCAGTCTGTTTCAACATCTCCCACCATGCTTTCTCAACATCCCCACTCATGCTGAAAAAACGTTGAGCCTTCTGGCGTCACCGTTAACCGATCTCACACATGAAAGAGACAATTTCATCTAGCTATGGGTGATGTCTTTTATCTGCATATTTATATATGTTGTGTCTGTATATGTATGGATGTATATGTAAGAGAGAAAGAGAGATAAAGTAGAAGGGATAACATTTTAGACCTTTCAACGTTTCCTGCTAAAGGATTTCATTGGTTTTTTATTTATTTGTTTTTTTTTCTTTTTCTTTTTTTTTTTTAAAGAAAAAAAGAAAGCAAATATAAATGTAAATCAATGGTATATTTTATAATATCCATTATACGTTTCCTATTCTTATTATATTGCTTTTCTTTATGTTGATCCTTTCATTGTTTGTTAAACAAATGTGTATATGTATATATATGTATATATATATATATATATATATATTTATTTATTGTAATAAAAATTATAATGTTAAGAGAATCTTCTCAACTTATTATACCTATTGTCTTTTATTCAACTATCCCTTCCAAAATGGGATCGATCTGCCATTCGCTTCGTTTCTTCGTAATGTTTCTTTAATGTATCTGGATCAGCCAAAAATCTTTGCCATAAAATTTCTTTTTCTCTTTTCAAAGGATTATTATTTCTCTGAAAATTTAATAGAAACTGTGTAACTATGTATGTTACGTATAAAAATCTTCTTAACATAATTATAATAATTACCATTTTTTCTTTCAATACATTTCTTACTGTCGTTAAATTTGTTTTAATGTTTTCTAATTGATTGGATGTATTCTCATATTGCACATTCAAATCGTACGAAAGTGGTATGAAGCTTCTTGTAATTCCATTATTTATTTCTTTATCATAACTACTCGATATTTCCTTTTCCCTAAACGAAAGGATATTAAAAACTATTAATAAATCATTAAAGATATAAAAACGACATTCCGTAGGATTATACAAACACACACAAACCCTCATATTTTTAATACTTACAATAACAATATTCTATTGATTTGGTCGTTCATATAAGTATCGAGTATAGCTTGCTTCTTCTCTTTATTATTTGCTATTAGATCATTATATTTGACCAGTGCATGATTTAATGCATCTGGCGAAACGTCGTCAATCGACACCATTGATATAAATAACTCATTGAAGATATTTTGATTGATAACAGATGATTGAAGTGCATCATATTCTTCCTGCTGTTGTTGCATAGTTTCCTGAATATATTAGTAAAGCATTAGATGAGAAAATTCTATTCAGTTGTCTTATTGTCGATCTAAATTAAAAGAAATGTTACTTACGCAGCGCGTCGAAGAAAGTGAATATTCTGTAGCAAGGTAATGACGAGCGTCACCGATAAACTCGGATATTTCTTTAAGCGAATGAAATTGCATATCCATTAATATACATAATAGATCTGAATGTGCATGACCGTGTTCACGTGTAAAAGATAAAAGAGATTTTAGCTTTCCGAATCGAATTTTTCTTCGCTTCAATCTTGCACGTGTAGCTTGTCGCAAAATTTGGATTATTTCAGTTTCTACGTATTGTTCGATAGCTTCGGTAAGTTGTCGTTCTCTTAAAAGAGTAATGTTCTCTTCCAAAAAATTTCTTCTTCTCGTCAGGTCCAAAATCTCGTCTCTAGTAGTGAATAATATTGAATAGAATACACTAGTGATGTAATTTATTTTATTCACTCACAGTAAATGCGTTTGCTCAGGTATTTTTAGATTTCCATCGTTCCATATGAACTGGGCATATTCCAACATAGCTCTGCAAGAGGCTTCGTGCATTTTAGCATAGACTTCTCTTAACGTCGAATTAGTAAGCCTATAATAATGTGTATATATGGATTACATTTAAATTGATTTCAATTTTATTATTAATCATGTACTGGTAAAAGGAAAATACTTTAACTTGCATGATGCCAATTCCTGCGTCTGTTTATAGATTTGCTTTTCTTTGCTGTCATTCATAAATGTCTCAAAATCCGAATCATGTTGCTGTTCGATCTCCCGATTATCCAAACTGAATTGCCGCTTAATCAAAATATCTAAATAATCATTGTAAAGCTTGATCTGTTTGATAAATAAATCTATGGACATTTGTATCCACAATATCGGTATTCCTTTCTATGAGAATAAATAAATGTGCTTTTTATACGATTTATCAAATAAAATGACATTAAATCACTTACATTTTCAATCGCATCTGTATATACATTAAGAAGCTGTTCCGTTTCTCTGAAGAAGTTACGATTTTGTTCATCAAATTTTTCCAAAATAATATTACAATCGTTAAATGCTTTAAGCAGTTCAATTTGTTCCTTTTCAAAATGATTCTCTTCCTGTTCTATCTCATCTTCCAATGTAAATTCCAATTCCCTACAAATAACTTTCTGTTATTGGACTATGTTAAATTACGTTTTATAGGTTATGGTTAGGTAGACAAACACAAATACCTACTTTAAATTCAATATATTATTTTTTAATAATTCTATATAGTCTTCGTCCATTTTATAAAGATCTTTTAACGATTCAAATATAGAAAACGTTTCATCGATGTCCTCATTTTCGAAATCAATCAATTTCAACAATTCCGGATTATCACGAGTAAATTCTTCGAGTGCTCCATCTAATTCTTTTCCACTTAACCATTCCTCCGTACGTTGTAATTTGTTTTTTCTATAAAATAATTCAAATACAAATTGTAATGAGATAATTCATAAACATGGACGAATAAAAGATATCTTACAGATATAATTCTTCTTTGGACAATACATTAGCACGACTGACATTATCGCAAAACCATTCTAGAAAAGGTTGCGCCGTCGAAATATCGCATATTTTATCGAAAATGTCAGGTGTTATGCTAGTTGACAGATCTGGTCTTAAATATTCGATCTTTTTATGAAGAATTTTGCCGGACACGCTCATATCGAATGAGTTTTATATACAACATATAGACGAATCATGAAGGTTAACTGTTATGGCTAACACTACCATAAAATAAGCGCGCCTAATGCCTATTTGAGTTTGACTGCTCCATCTGGCGGAGGAGGGAAATTTAAAAAGAAATTACATTTAAATTAATACGATCGCATATTCTATTCCAAAAGAAAGAAAATGATACAAATATATGTTAGAAATTATTATGTTGGCATTTTTTTTTCTTTTTTCTTTTCTGAAAAAGAAATTATATTAATTTATACCGATTATACATGTTCATGTAAAGTTTAAAAAATATTATATAATTTAGAAAGAGAGAAACTATAAGGGCAATAAATATCTTCCGGTTAAGATTAATAAAGTCTACTTGAATAACTTCCATTTATGTATCCGGTATACTCGTGTATATTCGTATACCATGCATATCTTTGATTTCTTCTTTAAGTACCTGCAAATAAATATGATACATATAATAAATCATTATATTTAAATATCTAACCGTCGTAATCTCCATTCTTACCTCGTTTATAATTCGATGCTGTTTAACTGTGCTTAAACCCTTGAATTCCGGCGCAATAACGTTTATTTCAAACATAGCACCGCAGCCACCTAAGGAAAAAAGAAACGTTATTAATCCAATTTCACTTATTTGTGTGCAACAGATGAGAGCGAGAGAGAACATATGCCTTATATATTATTTACCAGAAACGTCTGTTACTTCTATAAGTCGTGCTTTAGGAAACTTGTTCCGTAATAAAGAAATCATTTTTTGTTCTGCCTGCTTCCCTGCAAGCGCACCATTTGGTCCATTCCACACTCGTGACAGTAACTGAAACACTTTCGTTTTAGTCGTCTTCCTCATTTTCGTTTGAAACGGTTACTATAGGAAAAGTTGTTTGGGTCGTATAAGTTTAAAATATAAGTAACGTAAATCGATCCTCAATTAAGGATAATTGTGAGAAAATATAACGTTATATTTCAAATCGTTGTACATACAAATATAATGTGTAATATGTGATTAATAATGTTTTGTTACCTACCGAAATATTGCGAAAATTTGATGTAAATATACGACCGAACATAGCTGAGATATACTTGTTGTTTCTTTTCTTTTTATCTAAAATACATTTATCTTTTGTTACAATCTTTCTTAACTTTTATTTAAAAATAACAACAACAAAAATATCTGAATAAAGATACGCTCTCGTTCGATTATTTCACCGATATATAGGTTATATATGATAAAATCACATGGAATGAATCAGCTGATGTCCAATAGCGGGACAACAACGCCATCACCCGCCAAAGTTTGAAACACTATTAAAAAGAAAGACAAAAGAATGTCATTTCTCAATAATAAATAAAAATAATTGTGTGAGTAAATAACTGATGTCTGTGTGTGGAAACAGCTGGTACACAGATTTCCCAAAAATTTCAAAACGCAAAAAAATACATTTCATAATGATCACACGGAAAATCTACAGTAATTCAATCGGTCACTCTTCCGACAGATGATTCCTATGGAAAAAAAAATAAAATTCGTCTCCAATACCGGAAAGGTTATTGTGAACGTCTGGAACTTCAAAAGATTTCAATTTCACATTTCAATACTCGAAGTATACGAAGTCACTTCTGAATTCTTGGCCTCACATAAAATAAATATATAAGGTCTTTCAATTAACTTTGACGAGTATCGAATTAGTTTCCTATAGCATTCCGATGAGTAAAGATCGAAATTTTCTCTTTCCAAACGTAAAATCTTATAAATTAACATTTTCGATAATTTTATAATTATTGAAACAATATTTCAAGTACGCGGAGTAGAGTAAAGTAATATTTAAACAATAGTACATTTATTTAAACATTAAAAATACGGAAACGCGCGGGGGACTTAAAATAATTTTAATATAAACTTCTAGTACTTTAAAATTTTAATTTCGGAATAGTTGGCCTTGTGTAATATAAACATAACGCGCTTTCATTTAACTTTGACAGTTTCCGAGTTAGTATTTTCTTGCACTTCGACCTGTGCACATCGCGACTCACTTTTCTAAACGCTAAAGCTTATAAATTAATACTTTCGCTAACTTTACAATTATTTAAATAATATTTCAAGTACGCGGAGCAGAGTAAAGTAATATTTAAACAATAGTACATTTATTTAAACATTAAAAATACGGAAACGCGCGGGGGACTTAAAATAATTTTAATATAAACTTCTAGTACTTTAAAATTTTAATTTCGGAGTAGTTGGCCTTGTATAATATAAACATAAACGCGCTTTCATTTAACTTTGACAGTTTCCGAGTTAGTATTTTCTTGTACTTCGACCTGTGCACTTCGCGACAGACTTTTCTAAACGCTAAAGCTTATAAATTAATACTTTCGCTAACTTTACAATTATTTAAATAATATTTCAAGTACGCGGAGCAGAGTAAAGTAATATCTAAACAATAGTACATTTATTTAAACATTAAAAATACTGAAACGCGCGGGGGACTTAAAATAATTTTAATATAAACTTCTAGTACTTTAAAATTTTAATTTCGGAGTAGTTGGCCTTGTGTAATATAAACATGAACGCGCTTTCATTTAACTTTGACAGTTTCCGAGTTAGTATTTTCTTGTACTTCGACCTGTGCACTTCGCGACAGACTTTTCTAAACGCTAAAGCTTATAAATTAATACTTTCGCTAACTTTACAATTATTTAAATAATATTTCAAGTACGCGGAGCAGAGTCAAGTAATATTAAAACAATAATACATTTATTTAAATATTAAAAATACTGAAACGCGCGGGGGACTTAAAATAATTTTAATATAAACTTCTAGTACTTTAAAATTTTAATTTCGGAGTAGTTGGCCTTGTATAATATAAACATAAACGCGCTTTCATTTAACTTTGACAGTTTCCGAGTTAGTATTTTCTTGCACTTCGACCTGTGCACATCGCGACTCACTTTTCTAAACGCTAAAGCTTATAAATTAATACTTTCGCTAACTTTACAATTATTTAAATAATATTTCAAGTACGCGGAGCAGAGTCAAGTAATATTAAAACAATAATACATTTATTTAAATATTAAAAATACTGAAACGCGCGGGGGACTTAAAATAATTTTAATATAAACTTCTAGTACTTTAAAATTTTAATTTCGGAGTAGTTGGCCTTGTATAATATAAACATAAACGCGCTTTCATTTAACTTTGACAGTTTCCGAGTTAGTATTTTCTTGCACTTCGACCTGTGCACATCGCGACTGACTTTTCTAAACGCTAAAGCTTATAAATTAATATTATCGATAATTTTACAATTATTTAAACAATATTTCAAGTACGCGGAGCAGAGTCAAGTAATATTAAAACAATAATACATTTATTTAAATATTAAAAATACTGAAACGCGCGGGGGACTTAAAATAATTTTAATATTAAATTTTGTCACTTTAAAATTTTAATTTCGGAGTAGTTGGCCTTGTGTAATATAAACATAAACGCAGTTTTTCAAGACTTTGACAGTTCGCGACTTAGTTTTCTCTTGCTCTCCGACCTGTGCACATCGCGACTCAATTTTCTAAACGCTAAAGCTTATAAATTAATACTTTCGCTAATTTTACAATTATTTAAACAATATTTCAAGTACGCGGAGCAGAGTAAAGTAATATTTAAACAATAGTACATTTATTTAAACATTAAAAATACTGAAACGCGCGGGGGACTTAAAATAATTTTAATATTAAATTCTGTCACTTTAAAATTTTAATTTCGGAGTAGTTGGCCTTGTGTAGTATAAACATAAACGCAGTTTTTCAAGACTTTGACAGTTCGCGACTTAGTTTTCTCTTGCTCTCCGACCTGTGCACATCGCGACTCAATTTTCTAAACGCTAAAGCTTATAAATTAATACTTTCGCTAACTTTACAATTATTTAAATAATATTTCAAGTACGCGGAGCAGAGTCAAGTAATATTAAAACAATAATACATTTATTTAAATATTAAAAATACTGAAACGCGCGGGGGACTTAAAATAATTTTAATATAAACTTCTAGTACTTTAAAATTTTAATTTCGGAGTAGTTGGCCTTGTATAATATAAACATAAACGCGCTTTCATTTAACTTTGACAGTTTACGAGTTAGTATTTTCTTGCACTTCGACCTGTGCACATCGCGACTCACTTTTCTAAACGCTAAAGCTTATAAATTAATACTTTCGCTAACTTTACAATTATTTAAATAATATTTCAAGTACGCGGAGCAGAGTCAAGTAATATTAAAACAATAATACATTTATTTAAATATTAAAAATACTGAAACGCGCGGGGGACTTAAAATAATTTTAATATAAACTTCTAGTACTTTAAAATTTTAATTTCGGAGTAGTTGGCCTTGTATAATATAAACATAAACGCGCTTTCATTTAACTTTGACAGTTTACGAGTTAGTATTTTCTTGCACTTCGACCTGTGCACTTCGCGACTGACTTTTCTAAACGCTAAAGCTTATAAATTAATATTATCGATAATTTTACAATTATTTAAATAATATTTCAAGTACGCGGAGCAGAGTAAAGTAATATTTAAACAATAGTACATTTATTTAAACATTAAAAATACTGAAACGCGCGGGGGACTTAAAATAATTTTAATATTAAATTTTGTCACTTTAAAATTTTAATTTCGGAGTAGTTGGCCTTGTGTAATATAAACATAAACGCAGTTTTTCAAGACTTTGACAGTTCGCGACTTAGTTTTCTTTTGCTCTCCGACCTGTGCACATCGCGACTCAATTTTCTAAACGCTAAAGCTTATAAATTAATACTTTCGCTAATTTTACAATTATTTAAATAATATTTCAAGTACGCGGAATAGAGTAAAGTAATATTAAAACAATAGTACATTTATTTAAACATTAAAAATACTGAAACGCGCGGGGGACTTAAAATAATTTTAATATTAAATTCTGTCACTTTAAAATTTTAATTTCGGAGTAGTTGGCCTTGTGTAGTATAAACATAAACGCAGTTTTTCAAGACTTTGACAGTTCGCGACTAAGTTTTCTCTTGCTCTCCGACCTGTGCACATCGCGACTCAATTTTCTAAACGCTAAAGCTTATAAATTAATA